TGTTGTTTGTTTTTTGTTGTTTGTTGTTTGTTGTTTGTTGTTTGTTGTTTGTTGTTTGTTGTTTGTTGTTTGTTGTTTGTTGTTTGTTGTTTGTTGTGTGTTGTTGTTGTTGTTGTTGTTGTTGTTGTTGTTGTTGTTGTTGTTGTTGTTGTTGTTGGTTGTTGGTTGTTGGTTGTTGGTTGTTGGTTGTTGGTTGTTGGTTGTTGGTTGTTGGTTGTTGGTTGTTGATTGTTGGTTGTTGGTTGTTGGTTGTTGGTTGTTGGTTGTTGGTTGTTGGTTGTTGGTTGTTGGTTGCTGGTTGTTGGTTGTTGGTTGTTGGTTGTTGGTTGTTGGTTGTTGTTGTTGGTTGTTGTTGTTGTTGTTGTTGTTGTTGTTGTTGTTGTTGTTGTTGTTGTTGTTGTTGTTGTTGTTGTTGTTGTTGTTGTTGCCGTTGTTGTTGTTGTTGTTGTTGTTGTTGTTGTTGTTGTTGTTGTTGTTGTTGTTGTTGTTGTTGTTGTTGTTGTTGTTGTTGTTGGTGTTTGTTGTTGGTGTTGGTGTTGGTGTTGGTTGGTGTTGGTGTTGGTGTTGGTGTTGGTGTTGGTGTTGGTGTTGGTGTTGGTGTTGGTGTTGGTGTTGGTGTTGGTCTTGGTGTTGGTGTTGGTCTTGGTCTTGGTCTTGGTCTTGGTCTTGGTGTTGGTCTTGGTTGGTCTTGGTCTTGTGTCTTGTTCTTGTTCTTGTTCTTGTTCTTGTTCTTGTTCTTGTTCTTGTTCTTGTTCTTGTTCTTGTTCTTGTTCTTGTTCTTGTTCTTGTTCTTGTTCTTGTTCTTGTTCTTGTTCTTGTTCTTGTTCTTGTTCTTGTTCGTGTTCTTGTTCTTGTTCTTGTTCTTGTTCTTGTTCTTGTTCTTGTTCTTGTTCTTGTCGTCGTCGTCGTCGTTGCTGTTTTTGCTGTTTTTGCTGTTGTTGCCGTTGTTGCCGTTGTTGCCGTTGTTGCCGTTGTTGCTGTTGTTGCTGTTCTTGCTGTTGTTGCTGTTGCTGTTAATGTTGCTGTGGCTGTCGCTGTCGTTGTCGTTGTTGCCTTTGTCGTTGTCGTCGTCATGGTGGTCGTTGTGGTTGTGGTTGTGGTTGTGGTTATGATTGTGGTTGTGGTTGCGGTTGTGGTTGTGGTTGTTGGTTGTTGGTTGTTGGTTGTTGGTGTTTTGGTTGTTGGTTGTTGGTTGTTGGTTGTTGGTTGTTGGTTGTTGGTTGTTGGTTGTTGGTTGCTGGTTGCTGGTTGCTGGTTGCTGGTTGCTGGTTGCTGGTTGCTGCTGGTGCCTTGTTGCTTGTTGCTTGTTGCTTGGTGCTTGGTGCTGGTTGCTCGTTGCTTGGTGCTTGGTGCTTTCAGCTTGTTGCTTGGTGCTTGTTGCTTGTTGCTTGGTGCTGGTTGCTCGTTGCTTGGTGCTTGGTGCTTGGCTCTTGGTGCTTGTTGCTTGGTGCTTGCTGCTTGGTGCTTGGTGCTTGTTGGTTTTTGTTTGTTGCTTGTTATTTGTTGTTTGTTGTTTGTGCTTTGTTTCTTGTTTGTCGTTGTCTTTGTTGTTTTCGTTGTCGTTTTCGTTGTCGTTTCCGGCACGGCAATGAACATGTCCAACGTGAGTCCTCATTCACTTGGGACATCCTTTAGCAGTGGCACTCCTTGCTGGCGCCAAAACCGCCGCCCTAAATTGTTCGGGAGTTCACTCAGCGGTTATCCCTTTGGATTTAGTATTTTCAGCCCCCACAGCAAACCCGACTCCTCTGGGGGCCTCCCGGACCAGCCAAGTTTGCGGGGCACGGTTCGGAAGCATCCCCCCGCAAGGAGAAGGAGGGCTCGAAGGCGGGGCAGTGCGCGCATAGGAACACCTCGGCTGGTGACATGGCCATGAATGGCCAGCCTGTCTCATGAAAGACGGGGCCAGTTGCTTTTGCTTTTGTTGGGAGCTGCAGCCTTAGTCACAATCGTCCCTTGTCAATGTGGCGTCGGCGCTGGGATCTGATGCTGGAGAGGAGGTGGCTGCAGCTTCTTTTCGGACACCTACATTTTTCCACACAGTGCTCCTTGATGGAGGTTGCTTGAGGTTCCAGGCGTCAATGCAGGCTAGCAAACCCCCAGCAAACCCCCCTTCTGAACCGTGGCAACTGGGGTTACCTCCCCGTCCGTCCATTCATCCATCTGGCTGTGGGTCAAAACCATTGGTACCATTTTGGGGTAGGTGAATTCACCACCCATCTTAGAACCTATTTAGTGGTTGGATTCCCGTTCACTGGGGGCGAACCGATTTGGGTTTTGAAAAGCTCATGGCCATCTAGTTCGGCCAGACCTTGGCGTGTCATCCGTCGTTCCTCGCAGGCCCGATGCCCATGGACATGGCCTAGGTGCAAAAGGCACCGCCATTTTTTTTTGTCGGCGCGGTTGCCGCTTGGGTTCCGTTCAAATCGCTTTGGAACCGAACTATTTGGGGTGGTTTGCCTTTAAGCCACCATTCCTCCTGATGTCACTTTAGTGTTGCCAGCTCCATTCAAAACTTGAAAGAGGTTTACGTGTGAAAAGAAGCGCAAGACTTCGCAGGCTGTGGGTTCTTGGAAAGGGCAAAGGTCGAGTGAATCCCGTTTGCAGAGGCTGTGTGGAACCTGTCTGTTGTCCCTGCAGGAAGATGCCGGGGTTTGAAGGGAACATCTCAGCCAGCCTTCTGTTTGGGACACAGCTCCTCAGATCCGGATTGCCCACCAAGCCCTCCAGCCAGGCTTCTATATTTGGGGTTCCAAGGTGTGAGAAGAGGGCCGTTACGAGCCTGTTGAGACACTCAAAGCACCTTTCCCCCTTCATCCCAGGGTTTGCATATCTATACATCCCTTGCAGGGACTCCTAGCTTGTTGTGGACTTGTGCTGAAAAGAGGCGAATGCAGTTTCCCAAGGACACGTAAGAAGACACGTGGCTTGACAGCCCTGCTGACAACATTTTTTGTTCGATTTCTACCAGCTTCTTCTAGCAATGGTATCCTTCCTTTGGTGTGGGGATCGGTCCGAATGCTTTTGCGCATGATCTCCAAAACAAGGCGCTGGGACTTGTCTGCCAAGCCGCACATTTAGTGATGTATAGGCCAGGCTAATTGCCAATAGGAAACGATGGCCTACAAAAGGGGCCCAGATTTTGACACCCCGACTTGGCAATCCGTCAAATGGACTCATGAGCTCTCCGTTGAACCGCCCGATGGAAGCGGATTTGTTAGCATGGAGGTTTGAGTCAAGAGAATTGGATGGGTTCGCGGAGTCGCAACGATCCTGGCCGCAATTTCCAGCCTCAGGCCATCGAGTGAAGGGTAGGGTTGAAGGCCCTCGTTGGCGAGGCGCCAATCTTGAGCGATGCGCGGCCGGGAGAAATCCGGGCGGCGCCAAGGGCGGTCGGTGCTGGACGATGGGCGGGTTTTCTCCAACAAGACCCGGAGAAATTCGGGGACGGTTGCTCGGCGTCGCTTCCTAGTGGCCAAAAACTCCAAATTGGGTACATGGGTAAGTCTCAAGAATTCAGGGAGGTCCTGAGCAGATGTTGCCAGCTTCCGGGCTGTTGTTTCTTTGCCATGGGTTTTGGGTAGGCTTCAATACTGATGCCGTCCGCCCTTTCGCCGCTTGTTTCTCTCTGGGTCAAAATTTGAGCTGTGTGGATTGAAGAAGGCACATGTCAATTTGCAGGGCATCGCGCGCGTAGAGGGCTGCCAAACCACGACAGGAGAAGCAAAACACGACAAACAAAAGAAACAACACGATAAGACGGGGGTCAAAGTCACGATATGCGTTGACCCGTCCAGCAGCGATCCCTGTTGGACGGCTGCGCAATCCCTGTTGGAGCTTGTTTGAAAATCGCTGATGTTGGTTTGGTTTGTGTCCATTTCATCCACTTTCTATCACCCAGAAGCCGAGACTGGCCTCGCAAGGAGCTGAGTGTGCCTTAGTGTGTTCCCCCCAAAAGCAGTTGGGGTTGAAATTTGGAGTCCTTGTTTGCATTTCCAGACTCAGGGCCTAGGCCGAAGATTGGATACGGAGATCAAGTGAGCGAAGCTGGGAGCAAACCTGGGAGCTGGGAGCAACGCTGGAACCTTCCTGTCGTCCACAAGCTTTGGTCAAGTAGACGACAGGGTGTTCAATTAGCCTTCACACCTGGAACGGCCTGAATTCGCTCAACACAAGATGACCTAGACCAGCTTTGTTGCGGTGTAGTGTCTAGTCCGAGCGTGTAATATCTTTCATGACCGTTTTCCTCAGCTTCCCCGACCTCCGATGCAGTGCTGTGATCAGGATGTGCTCTCCAGTCTTGGTTCAGAACCCTTCAAGCTGTGATTGAGGGAGGTTTCAGGAGGCTGCGCTGTACCTGCCCCTTTGCCACGTCGCAGTGCCCAAGTCTTTCGTGGGTTCTGGCGGCCCCTTTCTCCCGGCGGTTGGCTGCTCGACCGCAAACCCGGAGCCCGGCTCAAGACGTGGGGCCCTTGGAGAGAAAGCCGTCCCTCACGCGCCGTTTCCCCAAGCTTCGAACACTCAGGGACTTCGAAGGTTGGCCCCAGCATCGGTCAGTGGCAAGCTGCGAGATGGATCCATTTTCCTCGGGCCCGTCCCTTGCCAGGCAGGGGATGGGTGGCTTGCGCTGGCTTGCTCGGAGAGAACTGGCTGTTGAACTTGGGCATAGGGCACGAAGGCGGTTTCTGGCTTATGGTCGCGCAATGGACCGGTTGGAATCAGCAAGCCCAGAATCGGTGGTTTGGACGGACAGCTTCTAACAGGGTTTTTCCCGCAAATTGGTGGAGTCCCGGTGATTTAAAAGTTTGTTTTTTTTTCTTCCTCTGCCGTGAGGCTGTCAGAAAGCACACAGTCATGAATTGCTCGGCTCAAGCAAACGCTACAAACTGCGTTTGCTTGTCTTTTGAACTTTTCAATCATGGCTGTCAAGCGCCTGCTTGCATGCGCTGTAGCCTTGGCGAGCGCGGACCAGTCCCTGTCCGGGGGTGGTATCTTCATGAAGGTTTTGGGCCAGAGTGGCAAGATCAACTACGCCACCAGCGAGCCCATAAACTCCGCAGATGATATGGTGCAGATTGTCATGGCCGAAATGAAGGCAGCTGTGTTTTGTGAGTCATTGAGACAGCACTGTTTTCTTTGTGCGGCAAAATCCTGATAGTTCAATTTCCCTCAACGCACGCATGGCTTTAGTTTACTCAGACATGATAACGTGGGAGTGACAATGCCGCTGGTTTCTGGCAAGGGGTTCGGCCGTGGAAGGCTGGCTGCTGGGGGGTTCTTGTGCGGGCCGGGTCCGAATCCTTCTGCCTCAAGGGGTTTCTCCTAGCCACTGTGATTGGGACTGGATCTGCATTGAGAATCGTGATGCCACTTCCACCGAGATCTTTGTCGTCATTTTCCTTGGTGCTGAGACTTGACACCCTGTGCTCGCGCATGCCGGCGAGGGTCTGCAACTGCCGTTCTGGCCAGTGACCTGGCAAGGCGCGACTGGAGCATCTATGAGCATGAGTGCTGGAGTCGGATTCTGGGTTCAATGGTGATGCTGGATCTGAGCTGTCCGGCGTTGCAGTCTGCAGAGATGACGCGCTGTCGACTTCAAGTCACGTTGCGAGACCATTTGTCGTCCGATGTGATGATGGGATGGAAGCGCAGGTGCAGTGGTGCTGGTCAGCCCATCATTAACTGCCAAAGAGCTGAAGAACCAGGCAACTCTGCTGGGGGGTTCTCTGCGTTGAACAACACAGGCCCAGCCCCTTTCTTGCATCGCGACTTCCTTGGCGTGACAGCTGGGTAGGGGTTGCAAGATGGCTTTGCATGAGCCTGCTGGCAGAACTGGCATGGAAGCGAAACGGTATCATGGGCAGAGTTCACTCGCAAATGACAAAGTGGGAGTGACGATGCAACTGGTTTCTATTTCTCAAGCTGCCTTCGGGGGTTGGTGGAAAATTGTTTTTGTCGTCGCATCATCCTGAGGATTGCGGTGCGTAAATTCCGACTTGCTCTTGGATGAAAATACAGGCATTTGGCTCGGAGGTTGTAACTTACTGGGCTTAGATGACACAGGAAACAGTACTCTTACTCCAACTAACAACTCACTTCTGGAGTTTACCCGGAACTCTTTCAAATGCTTTTATGTAACTTTTCCGAACGTCTTTCATAAGGTTTTTGAAAATCATGTTTGGCTCAAATCAAATCTCGATGGGTTGGGGAAGGTTTCCATCAAAAAGGGTGGTTACCCAGGCTATTCGCGGACCACGCGCAAAACGCTGGCTTGAATGCGTGGACTTGCAGACGCCCAGCACTGCGCTTTTCTTGCGAGCGCGTAAACGTTCACCCCGTGTCATCAGCGGGCAGATTTTATCTGCTTTCGCGCAGAGCGCCCAGGCTACATGCCAAACGTGTTGCCCAGGCTACACAGTCCAGCTCAAAGAAGAACTTGTGTCGCCTTCTCTGAGCTGCCAGCAACTCGTCAGTGGCTGGGACTTTGCATGCCCAGAAAACACTTGAACAAGCTTGCTGGCGTGCACATTGGGAGATGTGGGGAATTGTCCGGTGGCCCAGGGAATGTCCGAAATGTTCGGGGAATATCCGGCCGACGAGGCTGGGGTGTGTTGCAACAGGGCAGCCCAGAGAAGTGCTGAAGCATTCTGAGCGCCAAAACGACACTGATAACACGTTGTGAGTTCTATGCCTCTCGCTCCTCAAACTCACGCACGCGCGCGCTGGACGCGGACCACCGCGCTCAGAAGCAATTCCGCTCGTGCGAGTGCGGACGACCGCAACGGCGAAAACGCCGGCAGCCTTCGGCGCAGTACGTCGGGAAGCGGCGGACCACCACGACGCTTCTCCCCAAACCATCCTGATTTCGGACTTTTCCTCGTCAACGCGGCCGAGCTTTCCACGCCGCGGATGACCAAAAGTCCCGCTGGGCGTAATTGAGGTTCTGCACGTTCATGGCGGCAGGCTGCCATCGAAGTGTATGTATGCACATCTGCTGATAGTGTGTTGCCCTTGGGCCTTGGAGCTAGCAAATATATATATATATATATATATATATATATATATTTGCGACGCTTTCTTCAGCATGTGCGTGCATGTTGTTGCCTGAAAGGGCTTCCGATCACGTTTTCCCGTGCGTAAGTTTTCCGTAGCTTTCCAGAACTTCTTTGTATGATTCCTACACGTTTTAGCATGATGTTACAGGAGAGATAAATCTCTGCCAAATTACAAGCTCGACAAGTTTGACAAAGTCGTCTTGATTTACCGGACTTGTGTGCGCGCTTAGATGACTCAATCCTTTTTACAAGTGTACTTAGAGGACTTGCTGTTGTTTATTTGAGTTATAGCTCCCCTAAACAAGCCAACCCAATTTGCACATGCAGAAGGTAGGGCCCATATGCTGGTATTGCTTTAAGACGCTATTGCATTGTTTTTTGAAATCTCAACATGCCATTTCATCGTTTCAAATCTGTAAATGGAAGGTACGAATTCTTGGCTTTTGAAGCTTGCAAGCTCTGTACCAGAGAGGCTTGTGCTATGATCCAGTGAGCAACCCGCGGGCCTATGGGGCCCAACATGTTTTGGCCGCACCCTGCACCCTGTGAGGAGCTGGATGCAGCCGGCAACGTGCTGGGCGGAGGCGGCAACGCGAAGCATTCCTTTAACAGCTTTGCCACGCAGGAGTTCACTTTCAGTTCGCCAGAGTCCACGATCATCGAGGGTGTCAAGAACACCACCAATGGCATGCAGCCCTTTGACTACGATGTGACAAAGATTTCCTTCACCAGCTACTTGGGAGGTGGAAACTCAGAGACCGATTCCAAGCTCGTGGTGGAAGCCATCATCTTCAAAACGGAAGCCATTTTGCAGTTTACCATTCCTTCCGACGTCGAAGGTGGGGACCCAAGTTACTTTTACTCATACTCAACTGCAGGCAGTGTGAAGTTCAATGTGAAGATGAGCCAGTGGAACTGGTGCAACAACAACTGCAAAAGCGGGAACGGTGTTGGCGAGTCTGTGCGACTGACTATCGAGATGACCAACAAGATCATCGCTGATGACAGCTCCGAAGGTGGCTGCAGCAATGAGTGCAAAACTGGTGATGTGCAGGACCTTGGCGGTGTGTTCCTTTCCGTTTTGAACACTTACAGCATTGTCAATGGAGAGACATCCACCGAGTACACGATGCCAGTTGCGCCCAGCCTGTCTTTGGATCCTCCACCAGGCTCCAACAAGGGTAGCAGCCGCACGACCACGCTGGTGCTGGAGTTCCCCAAGGCCAACTTCGGTCCTGATGACACCCTCGTCTATGATCCGATGCTCAGCTACGACAGCTTTTCGGCAGACAGTGACACTACCACTGTCACCATGACCACCACCGCGGAGGGAGGTAGCGGTGGGAGCACCGTGCCCACCACTGAAGCTGGCAGCACGGCCAGCACCACTGCGGGGAGCACCACGATGGCCGATGGCACCACGGATGCTGGCACCACGGTTGCTGGTGGCACCACAGGCGCTGGCGGCACCACGGGCGCCGCGACTACGACAGTTGGAGATGAGCCGCCTCCCAGCAGTGCCAATCGAGCACTTCTGAGCCTTTTGGCTTTGGCAGCTGCTGCCTTGTCTGGATGAGACAGGCAACGCACTTTCAAGTTTCACTGTAGTATTCGACTCACCGATTTGACTTCTGAATGAGGATGCGGCGGAAGTGCTAAGCCATGAAAGCCTGGTAACTCATCATGCGGCTCACCAGCAGCATGCAGAATGGAAAAGCTCCAGATGCTACGATTCTTGATTTTTGAAGTGTGTGGCTCTCTTTTTTTGTCGTTTGGGTCTTGATTCTCGATCCACAGGATCATCAGGCCAGGCCTGAGAGTACTGAGCTCAGTGGGGCAGTAAAAGCGGCGTCTACACGCGTCCACGCAGAATCTGGGCTTTCTGCTTTTGCCCCACGGACATTCCCATTGTTGCAGCTGTTGCTACTTGCCATGCTACACAAGTTAGTCTGTTCCCCATGATTATTGCATCCCAATTGTCGAATTCCGAATCCCCGAGGCCCCGGTATTTCTGGAGCGTGCACGCAAAGCAAGGCGTGTGTTGAAAAAACAAAACACGCCGGCGCTTGGGGATCTCTTTTTTAGGTTTTGGACTTTTCACAACAACAGAATAGGCCTGGTATCAGGAAAGCTATTCCCCTCCCCCAAACCTCCCCAACAAGGCCAAAAAGGCACTTGCAAGGCCTTGGCAGCTGCCCAACTCTCTTAGCGCCTTGCTCAGCACTTGAACCGCGCTTGCGAATCGCATCTCAGCGGTTGTCTCAGGGTGCGACAAAATGTCTTTGTTTTGGCGTTTTTCTTTAGGACATTCCTGGATTTTACCTTATCTGGCTTAGCTTCTTGGCGTTTTGGCTTTGGGAGTCTGGACTTTTTGGCTTTTTGGTTTCTTGGCTTCCTTTTTGTGGTCTTTGCGGCTTCGGCTTTCCGCATCAGCATCACCAGTAACACCCCATTTTTGGATTTTTGGTTGGTGGCTTCTTACCTCCCACCAGGTTTCTGTAGATGTCCCCACCCGCTTCTCCATAGGGCCGTTTTTTGGCTTTGTGATGACCTCAAAACGCAAACCTAAAACCCTGAACGAACCCGAATGAATCCAACGCCCACCCTAAACCCTCGCTTTGGCCCCAAAATAAACTAACCCTAAACCACCACTAAACCCACCCTAGCCGCCACTAAAACTAGAACCAATCTTCAAACCAAACCTAAGCCAACCCTAAAGAAACCCTAAAGAAACCTTAAACCAGCAAGATTCCCCAAACAAACCTAAACAACCCCACTCTAAACCAGCAATAGACTATCCCTAAAACCAACTCTAAACCCACCCTAAACCAACCCCCACTCCCCAACCACCCGAAACCCACCCCACCCGAAACCAACACCATCTCTAATAAGCCCCTTAAACCACCCCCCGAAGCAAACCCAATACTGGCCCTAACCCCAAAGCAACCCCCGCGTGCCCAGTGGAAATCCAGAGAGCTCGTGCGAGCGGTTTCCGAGGCGGATGGGGAGTGCGGATTGCGCCTGGGAGTTGCGGGCCTGAAAAACCGATGGAAGCGCGCGGGGAAGTCCACACGCCGCATTGGGACCTGAGCCACGTGCTCAAAATCGATTCGGGTAGATGATCCGCTTAGTAAGGGACAATCCCCTTGCCATAGCTGCGGATATTCGCCCTAATTCTTGAAGCATGGTTCTGGGATTACGACCATTTTAACACCGGGTTTGGATGGAGAGTGTTTCTTCGTCCATTTGAAACATGGCTTTCTCCACAAAATGAAGGGAAACCACCATTTACAAGGCAATGTTCAGGAGTATAATGTAAGGATCCCTGTTTTTCCACCTCCATACTCATCTTTCTTGACCTTCAACGCGTCTAACTGCAGGCTGGGCGGACCAAGAAAAAGGTCCGGAGCCTGGAAGATCAACTTCAAGGGAAGCAACCAGAGCTGTTTTGTCCTGGGTTCTCTTCTTTCAGGGTTCTTGGATGGCCTAGGAATCAACCAAAGCTGTTTTGTCTCTTCTTTCAGGGTTCTTGGATGGCGAATCAACCAGAGCTGTTTTGTCCTGTTTGGGGGGGGTTCTTGGATGGCCTAGGTTGCAGTTTGCCCAATTGTACAAATCTGCCCATTGGACCAATCAGTCCTGTGAGGTTAGTTGGGGCTTAAATAGATGCCACTGATCTCAGCTCGGTTCTAATCATTCGCTCCCCTTCACACTGCCTTTGTGTCTCCCGTCCAGTGGCCCGACTTTGCTTCTTGATTCCTAGACCTCCAGTCGTGGCCTTTGTTCCCGTCTATTATTTTATATATATATATATATATTGCATAGCCCTTACATGCGCACATGTAGAGCGAGGGAATACACGATTGGGCCACGTCCACAAAGACGCCTAGTCATATACTTGGCGGTACCCTGCTATTTTTCTTAAATAATAATAGTAATAATAATAATAATAATAATAATAATAATAATAATAATAATAATAATAATAAATAAACAAGATGGTTTAGTCAACGCTTAGCAAGGATCACGCAGGATTAGTGTTTTAGTAGGGATGATTTAATATTCGTTTTTGTTTTTGTTTTTTAGTTTTTTCCACTCAAAGGTGTTTTGGACATTTTTTAGCAAGGATCACACCGTGTCCAGTGGTTTCTCTTCTGTCAACTGCGGCGGTGGGCAGTCACAGAGACTGCGGCTGGAGTGGCTAATTTCTTTGCTACTCGAGAGCCATCATCTTGACAACCATTTCCCTGCCTTGTTTTTCTGCCTTTGCGCGAGTGGGCTTGTCCGCAACCAAGTGAATCTTCCATTCAACCGAACAAAAGGGGATCCCCTAACAAAATGCAGATTGCCCGCATTTGGGGAGTCAATGAATGCGCTGTCCTAAAACGCTTACCCTTAGTTGCCCCTTTCAAGGATGTGTTTTCCGCTTTTTCGGCCCGCCAACTAAACCACCACCCTAGTCAACACCAAGCCTGGCCTACACCAACTTGCCCAATCTGCCTGCCCCCACCCAAAAAAGGCAGTCCACTGCAAACCAACCTACCGGTGATGTGAGCCACAATCAACACCCGGGTAGATGAAGTTTAGTAGGGGACAATCCCAACCACAAATAGCTGCGGCAGCCTTCTTTTCTTTACATGGTTCTGGGTCGACCATTTTTAAGACCGGGTTTTGATTGTGACTCATGTGGGGGTGTTTCTTTGTCGCTGCTCGGCGTTGAATCGGATGCTGCACGGTCGTCTCGCGCCGTCGCGCCGCTCGGCTCTGACGCTCGGACGCTCGGACGGCAAGAGCTTGCTGCCAAAGTGCAGCCCTGATTCCACAGGTGTCACACGTGTCATGGTGAAGACGCCCTGCTACTAGGGGTTGACAGGGATGATCCATCCACCTCGGTAGGATCCCATAGGATCCCAAAAAACCATGGATATGATTCCTGTTAAGGCAGCCATGACCAGAGGCCATAGGAGGTTTGGCCGTGGGCGCACACGGCACGTTTTCAACAACAGGTCTGCGTGGGGATCACAAGAGGCTTGCAACAAGGCCCTCACGGGATCCTAGTCCTATATAAATATACATATATATATATATATTCTTTGCCCCGTTTTTTTTTGGCAAGGACATCACAACTTTCTGGCACCCGGAAGGAGGGGTGAACGGGCTGGGAAGAAGACGTCATTGAATTTCAGCATGACCAGAACATAGGCCTCAGCCTTTCAGTTTCCGAATTGCATCTGCAATCGTAGCTTCTGTTTTAGCTTCCTGAATCATAGGTCCACCGCCTTGCGACTCCAATGTTCAGACTGTATTGGTTCTATGCCGCGCTGCTCCTTGCGGCTTTCCTGATCTTGATCATCCTGGAGGCCGGGGCAAATGAGACGTGGCCCGCGAGCTTTCAGCAGCTGACTGAGTTCAGCCTTAGGCCGTCGAAGGCGGGTTATGGTCATAGGTGTCCTTTTGGTTTGGTGGAAAAATCGATGGCGATTCCTGGTTTCCCTGGTGGTTTAGTCATCTAGGGCCATCGATCTGCCCTAAAAGGACACCTGTGGTTCTGGTCCGGTAGCTAGGTGAGGCTGGCCGGCAGTACCTTTCGGACAGCTTTCCTAGGTCCCCCAGCTCGGTGCCCTGTCTCACCAGCTTTTTTGGCTGGGAGGGTCCCCTACTAAAGTAGACTACAGTAAAAAGTTGGTACCCTTCTTCTAACCTCTCTACTGGAGGACCTAGTTTCCGTCCACTCGTTCGTCAGCCAAAATTTATAGCAATGGGAGCAGATCCGCAGCCAGAGTTGATGCGTACCATGATGCAACACCCCTAAATGTTCATTTGCTGCAATTCCATGACCGTTTTTTTTTGGGTGGCTCAAAAAACATTCGGGGTCCAACATGGCTTGCCGTGGTAAATGGAACGGTTGACTAACACCTGCGGCAACTGCAGCTGTTTAATTTTGACCCACACCCATATACCACCGTGTTCTCGAGTTGGATTTGTGGACTCGGCAAAAGAGCAGCGGACGGAAGGTGACGGACACCAGAGTCCTTCTTATAGGCCCCCACAAGAATACCTCCCTTTTCAACTTGGGTCTTTTGGTCTTTTCGGGATGGTTGTCTACCGGGGGATTTTGATCACTATTCCTGGCCCTCCATCGACCATGGGCAGCTTTTCCCAGGTGGGACAGCATCTTCTATTTCAACCCATGGCCACCCGATGGCAAATCGGACAGTTTTTTTTAAAGTTTTTTCCCCCAACAGCTGAAAGCTTCGGGGTCTCAGCCCAGATGGGCTCCCGGGTGGTCCGGGGCGGCCCTGAGGTAAGGTTCCACCAAGGTTCCACCAGGGTTCCACCAGGGTTCCACGAGGGTTCCACGAGGTTCTGCGAGGGCTGCGGGGTGGTGCGAGCACTAAAAAGACCACCGCATCCCCAAAAGTAAAAGGATGCCCTGGCAAAAAAATGCTGTTGGGGATATCACCTGAGCTTTTTTTTTTTTTTTAATAGACCCCCAAACCAGGGGACCAACGCACCAGACCTCGACCTCCGATGGCAAAAAACGCCTCGGGGGCCTTCGGCGTTTCGAAGCGTCCAGGACGGCGCCCTGCAGCGCGAGGAGCGGCCTGTGACGACTTCGCTGGGGCCGAGGGATGTGGCCTTCTTCCTGCAGACCAACCAGGAGAGCGCCACTTAACGGAGAATGCGCGAATTTCGCGAGAGACGTGGGGGGCTTTGAGTTTGTTTGTTTGTTTGCTTTTTCTTTCATAGGTTAGCTAACCCCCCCCCGTATCCCCCCCCCCCAAATGTCAAAATCTCAGTAAGACTCACCGAGTGTTGCTGAGCACTACTGAGCCCAGCAAGGATTTGGCATGTGTTGGGGGGGGGGGGGTTGCTTTCAATTTTGCATAGCAAAGCTGAATTGTTGAAGCTTGCCCGGGGCTCAAAGCGTCATTGCGTGCTACTAAATAGATACTGAGCCTGGATCGCCCATGTGCTGTGTTCTTGGGGGGTGATTGAGAGGGGTACACACCTCATTTCTGACCATAATTTCCACTCAAATCTGACCATATGTTTTGTCTCATTTCTGAACATAGGGTGCTACTCATTTGTGACCATGTTTGTCCACTTAGTAGTGACCGTGCTGCGTAGATGCGCGCGCACATGCGTTCAGGTTGCACACAGCGGGTGAGAGGTCGGCATGAAGATGTTTGGTAAGGGCTTTGTCAGGGGGAGCAACCGGCAAGCGCAGCCAGCAAGGTCTTGGGCCCTGTCCGAGCAGAGCCTTGGAGATTGGTGCTGAGCACGCAGTGTGCTTACTGCAAGCGCACTGTGCGCTTCAGCCCAAGTCTTTCCCCCCAGCCTTCCCGGTCTTTCCCCGCAGCCTTCCCGGTCATTGCTCGACACCGTCCCGGTCTTCTCCCGGGCCTTCCCGGTCCTTCCTCGACGCCTTCCCTGTCTTCTCCTGGGGCTTTCCCGGTTTTCCCTCGGGGCCTTCCCGGTCTTCGCGCGACGCCTTCCCGGTCCTTCCTCGACGCCTTCCCGGTCTTCTCCCGGAACCTTCCGGTTATTGCTCGACACCTTCCCGGTCTTTCCCCGCAGCCTTCCCGGTCTTTCCCCGCAGCCCTCCCGGTCTTTCTTCCCGGTCTTTGTTCGACCCCTTGCCGGTCATTGCTCGACGCCTTTCCGGTCTTCTCCCGGGGCCTTCCCGGTCTTTGCTCGACGCCTTCCCGGTCTTTGCTCGACGCCTTCCCGGTCTTTCCCCCCAGCCTTCCCGGTCTTTCCCCGCAGCCTTCCCGGTCATTGCTCGACACCTTCCCGGTCTTCTCCCGGGGCCTTCCCGGTCCTTCCTCGACGCCTTCCCGGTCTTTCACGGTCATTGCTCGACGTCATTGCTCGACGCCTTCCCCGGTCTTCTCCCGGGTCCTTCCCGGTCTTCCCTCGACGCCATTCCGCTCTTCTCCGTTTTCACGGTCATTGCTCGACGCTTTCCCGGTCATTGTTGGACGCCTTCCCGGTCTGCTCCCGGGGCCTTCCCGGTCTTTCCTCGACGCTCCGACCGAGACCAGGCGTCACAGGTGAGAGGTCGGCATGGAGATGTTTGGTAAGGGCTTTGTCAGGGGGAGCAACCGGCAAGCGCAGCCAGCAAGGTCTTGGGCCCTGTCCGAGCAGAGCCTTGGAGATTGGTGCTGAGCACGCAGTGTGCTTACTGCAAGCGCACTGTGCGCTTCAGCCCAAGTCTTTCCCCCTAGCCTTCCCGGTCTTTCCCCGCAGGCTTCCCGGTCATTGCTCGACACCGTCCCGGTCTTCTCCCGGGCCTTCCCGGTCCTTCCTCGACGCCTTCCCTGTCTTCTCCTGGAGCTTTCCCGGTTGTCCCTCGCGGCCTTCCCGGTCCCAACGCCTTCCCGGGTCCTTTCCTAGCCTTCCCGGTCTTTCCCCGCCTTCCCGGTCATTGCTCGACGCCTTCCCGGTCTTCTCCCGGGGCCTTTCCGGTCTTTGCTCGACGCCTTCCCCGGTCTTTGCTCGACGCCTTCCCGGTCTTTCCCCCCAGCCTTCCCGGTCTTTCCCCGCAGCCTTCCCGGTCATTGCTCGACACCTTCCCGGTCTTCTCCCGGGGCCTTCCCGGTCCTTCCTCGACGCCTTCCCGGTCTTTCCCCTTTTTGCCTTCACGGTCATTGCTCGACGTCATCGCTCGACGCCTTCCCCGGTCTTCTCCCGGGTCCTTCCCGGTCTTCCCTCGACGCCATCCCGGTCTTCTCTGTTTTCACGGTCATTGCTCGACGCTTTCCCGGTCATTGTTCGACGCCTTCCCGGTCTGCTCCCGGGGCCTTCCCGGTCTTTCCTCGACGCTCCGACCGAGACCAGGCGTCACAGGTGAGAGGTCGGCATGAAGATGTTTGCTTCGGAAACTATGCTTCGGAATCTGGCTGTGGAAAGTATGCTCCAAAACATCAGGAGAAAGTGCCACGCTGCCATCGCTAGTCAGTTAGGGGTCTATGACCGGGAAGGCGTCGAGCAATGACCGTGAAGGCTGCGGGGAAGGCCTCCAGGAAGCAGCAAAGTCTGGGGAAGACCCTGGAGAAGACAGGGAAGGCGTCCAGGAAGGACCGGGAAGGCTGGCTTTGCCATCGAGCATTCAGTGCGTTTGTGACAAGCGCACTGCGCGAGTCAGATCTATGCAGACTGCTGGCGGACCGAAGCCGGAAATGCGCCCAGCCAAAGGCCCTGGTGGGCAACCTGGAGGGACGCTGCGGACAAAAGACCGGGCAAGCCCAGCCACAGCCAGGACCGGGGACCGGGAAGGCGTCGAGCAATGATCGGGAAGGCTCCGAGAGAAGACCGGGAAGGCGTCCAGGAAGCGGGAGAAGACCGAGAAGGTGTCGCGCAGTGGCCGGGAAGGCCTCGAGCAAAGACCGGGAAGGCTGCGGGAGAAGACAGGCAAGCCGTCGAGCAAGGACCGGGAAGGTGTCGAGCAATGACCGGGAAGACCGGGAAGGCGTCGAGGAAGGACGGGGAAGGTGTCGAGCAAAGACCGGGAAGGCCCCGGGAGAAGACAGGGAAGGCGTCCAGGAAGGACCGGGAAGGCGTCGAGCAATGACCGGGAAGGCGTCGAGCAATGACCGTGAAGGCTGCGGGGAAAGACCGGGAAGGCGTCAAGGAAGGACCGGGAAGGCGTCGAGCAAAGCCCCGGAAGGCCCGGGAGACGACCGGGAAGGTGTCGAGCAATGACCGGGAAGGCTGCGGGGAAAGACCGGGAAGGCTGCGGGGAAAGACCGGGAAGGCTGGGGGGGAAGACCGGGAAGGCAGCGACCCCCCCCCCCCCCTTCCCCGACCCCAGGAGGCCACAGAAATACCCCAGCCGCAGAAGCGGCGCGGCCGCAGGTCATGGGTCTGCATAGATCTGACACATGCAGTGCGCTTGTGACAAACGCACTGAATGCACGATGGCAAAGCCAGCCTTCCCGGTTTTTTTTGGACGCCTTCCCTGTCTTCTCCAGGGTCTTTCCAGTCTTTGCTGCTTCCTTGAGGCCTTCCCGGTCTTTCCCCGCAGCCTTCACGGTCATTGCTCGACACCTTCCCGGTCATAGACACCTAACTGACTAGCGATGGCAGCGCCTGTCTTCTCCCGCAGCCTTCCCGGTCTTTGCTCGAGGCCCGATCACTGCTCGACGCCTTCCCGGTCCCCGGTCCTGGCTGTGGCTAGACTTGCCCGGTCTTTTGTCCGCAGCGTCCCTCCAGGTTGCCCACCTGGGCCTTTGGCTGGGCGTATTTCCGGCTTCGGTCCGCCAGCAGTCTGCATAGATCTGACACGCGCAGTGCGCTTGTCACAAACGCACTGAATGCTCGATGGCAAAGCCAGCCTTCCCGGTCCTTCCTGGACGCCTTCCCTGTCTTCTCCAGGGTCTTCCCAGACTTTGCTGCTTGCTGGAGGCCTTCCCGGTCTTTCCCCGCAGCCTTCACGGTCATTGCTCGACGCCTTCCCGGTCATAGACCCCTAACTGACTAGCGATGGCAGCGTGGCACTTTCTCCTGATGTTTGGAGCATACTTTCCACAGCCAGATTCCGAAGCATAGTTTCCGAAGCAGTCAGCGACCCCCCCCCCCTTCCCCGACCCCAGGAGGCCACAGAAATACCCCAGCCGCAGAAGCGGCGCGGCCACAGGTCATGGGTCTGCATAGATCTGACACATGCAGTGCGCTTGTGACAAACGCACTGAATGCTCGATGGCAAAGCCAGCCTTCCCGGTTTTTTTTGGACGCCTTCCCTGTCTTCTCCAGGGTCTTCCCAGTCTTTGCTGCTTCCTTGAGGCCTTCCCGGTCTTTCCCCGCAGCCTTCACGGTCATTGCTCGACACCTTCCCGGTCATAGACACCTGACTGACTAGCGATGGCAGCGTGGCACTTTCTCCTGGTGCTTGAAGCATACTTTGGTCGCCTGGTCACAAGTAAGTGAATTCCATGGTCATAAATAAGGGAAGTGATGGCAGCGTGGCACTTTCTCCTGGTGCTTGAAGCATGATACTTTGGTCGCCTGGTCACAAGTAAGTGAATTCCATGGTCATAAATAAGGGAAGTTGATGGACAAATATAAGCAAAATGCGTATGGTCAGAAATAAGTGAAAAGTATGGCCATTTTTGAGTGCCGAGCCATTGAGAGGTCCTAGGTGCTACTGAGTGCTACTGAGTGTGTATACTCCGGGATTCCCAAAATGTGCTGTTTTGGGTTGTGATTGAGTGTTACTGAGTGTTACTGAGTGCTACTGAGTGCTACTGAGTGCTACTGAGTGCTTACTGAGCCGGGATTTCAAAAATGTGCTGTTTTAGGTTGTGATTGAGTGCTACTGAGTGTTACTGAGTGTTACTGAGTGCTACTGAGTGTTACTGAGTATTACTGAGTGTTACTGTGTGTTACTGAGTGCTACTGAGTGTTACTGAGTGCTGCTGAGTGCTGCTGAGTGCTGCTGAGTGCCTTTTGTCTGCTACTGAGTGCTTTCTGAACGCAGTGAGCGCTTGCTGATTGCTATTGAGTGACTTTGAGTGCTACTAGGTCTGCATCCGCTGATGTTCAATTCCCAGGTGTTCAGTGCGCGGCGCAGTTGCAGCACAAATGACCGCTAAGAAAATGACAGCACACATAGGGATCATTATGGTTCCTACTACTCAGCAAGACTCAGTAGCACTCATGATCAATTTTGAGTGGTGGCTATGTCTTGCTGAGAGCTGCTGAGCCTTGCTAGCACTCGAAGCAAAACACATGATTGAGCCTTACTAAGCCTTACTAAGGCCTACTAAGGCCTACTAAGGCCTACTAAGCCCTACTAAGCCCAAGATTCAAAATGAAAATGTTTCTTCATTTTTGGACCCGATGCCACTCAAACTCACATTTGAGGGGGGGGGGGATACGGAGGGGGGGTTAACTAACCTATGATTCTTGGGGGGGTGGAACCAGAAGGCGGCCTGGGGCTTTTGCCTTGTGTCCTGGTTTTTGGCAAGGACAAAGGATGGCCCCTTTTGGTGGGCTTTTTTATTGGAGGCCAAGAAGAAAAATAATCGAAGCTTTTGGCGCGCCGCCAGCTTTTTGCCCGTTTTGCACATGCGGGAAGCCAGCCAGGACACCGAACACGTGCACCAAGTGGAGCTGAAGGAAAACCTGCTTGGAGTGATCTATTTGAGAATTTCTCCCGTCAATCCTCTTTGGTTTGGTGAGCTTCTCTATTTTCTGCTTTGGGTCTGTCGGATTCACATCCTGCGAACAGCCGGCACTTCGTTTGGTTCTTCGCTCTGAGTCCGCGGCCTCTTCGAAGCGCTTGAAGATCATTTTTTGACGCAGGCATGTATCCCGGATTGGGCTGGTGGATTTGTAGGTTTGTGGCATGCCCGCTTGCTTGCCTGAGGTAGGCCTTGGGCTAGCTCAGCACTGCCTGGTGAGAGGCACATTCATCATTTCAGGACCTGCCCCGCCATTTTTTCACTAGCAAGGCTCGCCTTAGGGCTCCACCAAGGTGCGGTTGAACAGCTCCCTGAGAAGCGTCCGGGCACATCTGCCAGAGGCGCTGGACGCTGAGATCGGTCTCCGGACAGCCCCGTTTCAGGGGTCAACACCATGGCGCGCTTAAATGGGCGTGGCTCAAAAATCATTCGGGGTCCCAAATGCCTTGCCCTGGTGTATGGAAAGGTAGACTAAAACCTGCGTAACAGCAGCTGTTTAATTGTGACCCACACTCAAATTTGGACTGGTTCAAGTCCCGTGATGGAGAGCAACTTTTGTTGAAACCATCAAGGCTGCGCAACCGCAGCGCTGAGCGCCCAAAAAAGCATTGGGAGGGTGATCTTACTTGAAACCCATGGTGAAACCGCATGGTTTACGGATTTCTCCGTCAATTGGACAGTTTCCCGAGTTGTTCGCGCGCTTCGAGCTCGGAGCTGTCTCTGGTGCTGAGTTGCACCGAGGTTGTGGGTGGATTCGCCCCCCATAGTTTGAGACGCGATTTTTTTTGGAAGATCTCCCGAGAAAGATGGCAAGCAAAGCCGCAAAGTGCGGCAAACCAACGGAACTTTGGCTTCCCACTTCACTTGAGCGTGTTCTTTTTTCAAGAAAAGCCGCTTTTGAAGTGGTTGTAAAGCAACGCCACGGTTTTTTTGGGTCCATTCAACCTGGGCTTCACGTTTGTCGGTTCCGATTCTCGGGCGCATTTCTGGTTCAAAAAACTTGCCTGGCGCCAAAAAATCTGCCCCACCCGCCCACCCTCCCCCTTCCCGCCTTCCCGCCTTCCCGCCCGGCTAGCGGGTTTGGAGGCGCCCATCTACCTCCTCAGCGACGGGGGCCCCCTCTTCCTCAGCAGCGCGGCGGCCTTCCAAGCCGCCGCCTTCCGGGAGGAGTGGCTCGGCGTTAGCGGGAGAGACAGGAGTCGGGGGTTCAGGGGAACTGCGGGGCTTACAACCCAGGGGTTTTGGTGGGAGTTGGCGTTCAACGACCGTTTTTATATGTTTTTTTTTTGGAGGTTTGGTCGGAGTTGAGTTCTGGGAAGGGTTCCCCTTCAAACTCAAGCAGAAAGGATGCCCCTGTGGCCATTTACTTGGGTGTGTGAGGGCATGGATGGGCAGCCTAGGGTTCCAGATTTTCTGGACGCCCTTTGAAAGTGAAGCAGTTTTTGGGGATCAATCGTTGGAATCCCTTAGAATAGGTGACCCTCCCTCGCAAACCCGATCGCGCCTGTTTTCACCCCGCGATCCGGTGACTCGGCGGGATCCCGGCTGCTCTGAGTGCTCGGCTTGGTTGGGCCGATCGGGTACTCGGCGTTTTCTGAGGATGCCCACGCACCTGGCGGACTACATGAACCGGAACTTCACCTGCCGGAACCACTTGGCGAGGCTGGCCAAGGCTGGTCGCTGGGCCCTGGGCGAAGGCGCCAAGTTCCTGGTCTCCTGGGAGGAGGAGGGGAAGGGAGGGGAAGAGAGGGGAGCAGAGGCGAGACGGAGACCGAATTCTCCGATGTCATTCTCTTTCTCTCTCTATATAAATTACTTGATATATATATATATATACACACACATTCCATTCTTTTTTCAGGTTGACCACATTAAGAAGGAAACTGGGGTCTCCTCCGATGTTATTCTATACATAGTATACTTTCATACATTTTTGTTCAGGTTGACCACATAAAGTATGAAGCAACGTTTGAACATCTTCTCTTTGTTGTACCCTGCGGTTGGGCTCAAACAGGTTGGCAGAGAGAGAGAGAGAGAGAGAGAGAGAGCACTTCGTGTGAGGACACTCGGCTGCTTAGAGCGCCGAGCGCCATGCCTCCTGCGGATCTCATCACTATGGGCGCCTCGCGCGGGCAAATGAGCTCACCCGTGTATCTGGGGTCTTTTACCATCGAAGGGTGGAAGTACATACCCCTTGGCTTCCCTGGTTTCCAACCCACTTTATGAGGGGTATATACCCCTTTTGGGGAGAGGGGCATGAACATCAGCAGGCCTTTTGGGTTCATGTTTCCAAGGGGTGTGTAAAAGGGGTATGTACAAGCACCGCTGGATAGCAGCGGATTCCCTTGTTTCCGGTTTGGGAATTGTACTTTTTTGCAGGGCAGAAATTAAGGATGTGTCAGTTGCCAGAGGCTCGGCCCCTCTCATTTGAAGATGGCGCACCAAACACTTTCTGACAGTGTTTCACAACCCTCATATGTGTCCACCTCATATTCTTGATGATTCCCCCGTGTTTCCCTCTGAGACGTTGATGCCTGCACTACAAGAGTCCCGTCAGTTTCCAAGGAAACAAACCCACCCATCCTTGCCTATCTCGGCGGCTTTCTGAGACTCTTTGTTTCCAGCTCACCCAAAAACCTTCTTGTTCGGCATGGATCTGGCAAGTCGTTTTGGCGCATTCTCAGCAGGCTTCTTGATGTTTCCGTGACCTCAGCGTGTGCCAATGTCAGATTCCATGCCATGGGGTGTATAGATTAGTTGACCAATGTACTCGCCCGGTAATGGTGCCTACTTATGGAACATGCCAGGAATGGGCACCTTCTCCCGTTTCAGCCCTGGTTGACAAGCACGCAAGAAATCACAGCACACCAGCGCCTGCGGCATGAGAGAGCATTGAATACCATTAGGTGGGAGGGGGGTGACTCCGGAACTTCATTGCTAGCTCCATTTTCCCTTTGAGGGAGTTGCTGTTGACCCCTCTGCCAAAAGTTTGACTTTTTGTGGGTTTCGTGAACAACTCCCTGGATTTTCCAAAAAGCTAAAGTCTAAAGATGCAACCCAATAGCAGTCAAGATACCGTGGAAGGCATCAGGGGAACCCTCGCCTCTCCTTCCGCTTTCGGAGCCTCCCGAAACATGGCGGAGCATCCGTTTCGCACCGAGTAAGCCCGTGGAAGGAGTCGGTTCCAACAAGCAACCACCAACAGGCAATGGCTTTTCTCCATGGTTTCGGAGTGCGGGATTTCGCCCATCCACAGTAGATGTTCTTTTGATAGATCGATCAGTTTGGGTTCCGCTGGTTTAGATTGGTTCTGTAAACCATTTGCCATGGACACCCATCTACGGTACCGAAAGGACACCTACGTTGAAGACTGGTGGCCAGAATGGTTGGATTCCTCTTCGAATCACCCCCAGCTTGTGGCCTCTGGCTTGATTTGTTTGAAGGACATCCCCTCACCTGCATCCCTCTCCCAACCTTTGACTTCATGCCCTCACAATCCCACAGTTTAGAGGTGTCCAAGGGAACCCCCCCCCTCCTCCACCTCCCCCCCTCACCACCTCCCCCCCCCACACCACCTCCCCCCCCCCCCCCACGCCTCCCGCCCCTCCCGCCCCTCCCCTAACCCCCCCCCCCAGCCCGCCGGAGGCAACATCGGCAACCGGGGCTTCGCCTGGGGCCCGAAAGAGCTGCAGCGCTTGCGCCTCCGAGCCGAGAGCTCCAAAGTCGACCTGCGCCGGGCGCAGAAGGCGCGCAAGGGGGGCCCAGTGGCGGACGGCGGGGGGGTGGGGGCCGGGGCGGGGGGGGGGTGGCCAAGGGGGGGGAGTGACAATCTACGGAGGGTCTCAGGTGTTGTTTTTCAAGGGCCAGGAGGGTCTCATTTTTTTTTTGGGGGGGTAGTTTTCTTTTGCCCGGAGAGCTGAAAGGTACAGGGGTATCTTGTAGAGAGGGGAAACGGTCTATGGTGCATATTAAAAAGTTGAGATGAAGCGTTTGGGAGAAGGGACACTACACGGGATAGCTTCGCAACTCGCTGTGCTGGTGTGCCGGTGTGCTGATGTGCTCGTGTGTTGTTCTGCTGAATGACTGTGCCCAGTTTTTGTTTGAGCTTTCGTTCGCCCGCAGGTCACACAGATTCCATGGACACTAGCAAACAATTGTGAAAGAGAGCACTTGTCTAGATCAGTCATGTCGCTCCCGCACCCAGGCGGAGCTCGTGCCGTTTTTTCATTGGTATGCTTTCAGCAGGGTGTTCTTTTTCTTTTTTCTTCTTCCTTCTTTTTTCCAGAAGCACCGAACCAAAGGAGCAATCTTGAAATACATCATTTTTTCGAGTTTCTTTGAAACACACACCCGAAACCTAAGGACACTTAATCCTAAGGCCACCTTTTCTCCCCGTATCCCGCTCCTTTTCTCCCTGCAGGGAACACTAGACACTTGGAATTGGATTTGGCTGCCCTTCCCCCGGCAGGGTAAGGTCGACCCCAAATGGATCAACCTAATTTAATAGGGTGTTTTGTGTTTTTCCGTTGGAAAGTTTGGGTCAACATCAAGCCCCAGCGTCTTTCAATCAATCACCCTATTTCTTAATCATAGGCCTTTTTTTTTTTGGGTTTTTTCCCCCTTTTTTCTTCGCAGGTCTTCCCTCGTTCCAGCAATCACTCGTTGCTTTTGTTTTCGCATCAAACTAGGGCACCCCAAACTACCCAGTTTGTTCCTATGGGGACCATTTCGCGCCACCGAAGAAGCCCTGGTTTCTGACAATTCCCTCCCCCCCAGAAAATACCACAAACGTTCTGGTTTCACCAATGGTTTCACCTCGTGGCGCGAAATGGATTTCGCAACCATCCACAGTGGGCGCCCGTTTTAGCTTAGTCTGCTTCAACATGGATGGCCCTGGCTTAGTTTACCCGGGCCATCCTCACCTCATCCCCCCCCCCCTCCACCCCCCGTACCCTCCCTCCCCCCCCCCAAACCCCACCCATCCCAATGCTAAGCCTCACCCCGCCTCGCCTCCCCCTCCCCGGCGAGAGGTGGAGGCCTACGCCGCGCGCGCCGGCTACAGCGCCGGCCCCGGCAGCGCCTGGCGCATTCGCAGCTTCCTCAGGGCCTACGAGGCCGCTTTTCGGGGTTCGGCCGCCGCAGTTCGAAACGCATGGAGCGCGAGTGAGGGGATGCGGCGCAAGAAGAGATGGGAGCTGAAAACAAAGAGAACACAAGGTCACATAAACAAAGAGAACACATTTCTTTGACCAAGGAGAAAAAGAAGCGAGATGAAAGAAAAGTCGTAGTTGTAAGAGTACACAAATTCTCAGACTGAAATGGAGAAGCTGCCAGAAGGCTGCGGTAAATGAAACCAAGCCTTCCATGTTGGCCTGGGGGAGGGTAGAAGAGGTCCAAACCGTTGGGTTCTGTAGATGGATGGCGTAGGTGTCTGCGGGCCCCTTGGCGGCTGTGCAAGGGCCCAAAATGGGTAAACCCCGAGCAGAGGCTGCCTTCAGGTTTGCACTGACGTTCAATTTGCTCGGTTTCTGGTTTTGCGGCAAAATGCCCAATCCCATGTCCTGCTTTGCGATCCATCCATATCCCTTTTGGAGACACACCCACAACTCAACCACCAAAACAAGGTCTGTTAACTGTTTGTTTGACTTAAATACCCATATTGAGCGGGCGTGGGCTTTCGAAGAGTTTGTCCATGCCTGCGCATGTCATGCTGCGCGCATCTTGTCGCGCGTGTTGCATGCAGTACTTCACAGGGCACGTCCGGGGCGCTGCACATACTTTAACGCACAGCACGCGCGCGCGCAAGCACAGGTCGCAAGCATTCACGCGCAGGCGCGGAATCAGTATGGGTTGGAGGTGCGGGCTTGGACAACTCGATTTGAACAACCGCGCCGCGACAACTACTTGCGGGACACTGAGAAGAGGCTGTTTCAACAATGGCAGTGCAAACATGAGGTCGGCAGACTATGCCGATGCATCGATATGCTCCATTTGCACTTGAGTGAGCCGCAAAATAGATGAGATGCCCCCAGCTTGGTATGATTTGGATTGAAGGGCACGAGGCCGCGGCCATCTTCTTTGGCCTCGAGCCACGGTTTCCATTTTTTTTTGCTTTGCCTCGTTGAGCAGAGGCGAGCACACCGGAAGAGCTGGATGCAATGTACAACGTGCAAGACTTGCGCCTGGGATGCCATTCAAAGGTTTCGGTCTGATGGACCTGGAAAGGGGGGGCTGAGTTCGGAGTTTCTGACCAAAAGCTGCCTAGACCGAACTGAGCCGAGTGAGATGGGTCGCTCTTCCTGTTTGGGGCTGGCAGGACTGGAAAAACCAGGCGCGCTGCCCTTGCGAAGCCCCCGCTGATCATACAAACCCTTTGCCTGCAGGCCCCACGTTCGTGTATTTTACAGGGGGGGTTTCCTCTTGGATGTAGGCTGGGTTTCTCTTTGTTTTGCAAGGGGGTCAGAAGTTGGGTTTGAGGCCAACAGGTTTAACGAGGCCATGAGGAGACTTACATCCCATTGGGACTTGGGCGTTTGAGGCCCGCGCGCCTCAGGTGCTGGGAGGACTTTGCGCTCCAGCGGAACTTGAGCGTGCGCCGGAACCTGGAGGTCCAGGAGATGTTGCGGCCGCCCCCTGGCCCTGGTCGCCTGCTGTGTTGACCAAATTTCTGGCCTAATCGACGGCAGTTCCCTTGAACATTCTTTTTTTCTCCTTTCGGGTTGCTTCCCCTTACAAGGGGAAGCTGCCCACTTCGGACGCTCCCGGCTGACCTGTCCACTTGTCCACTTCCTCGCGCTCCCTCTTCCGCTCGCGGCGCTGCAGATTCACGGATTCGCGGCGGGTGTTCCGAGGTTCGGAGACCTGGACCAAGGCATCCAGGCTGGCCCCGGGCTGTGAACGGGCGGATTTTCCACCAAAAGACCCGGTCTGAAGGTTTCGAGTGGGCTTAAGTTCACCAGGCGGCCTTCTCTGACCTGTTGCCCCCCTACCTGAAGCATGTGGTGGGTTGGTGGGGTTTCCGTTTGACCCAAAGTTAAAAGCCTTTGACAGGGGATCTAAGGACAGGTTTGCAGGTTTGGGGCGTGTTCCCTGCAAAAGTTATGTCTGAATCCAACCACTAAAAGGAATTGGACACCCCCCGGTCAAAATCAACCAGTTCTGCCGAATTCCGGGCTTGACCTTATTCTTGGGCCAATCTGCTTTGTTTGGAACAGGGCTCCTTAAAAGATCTCCATTTTGCCACCATTTGAAACATGTTGAACACTTTTTCAACACCAAAATCAGGTGGTGATTACCTGAAGCACCGTGGTTGGAGGCTTTCAGCCCAGCGGCCGGGGGATTTTTCTTAGGACGGGACCCGCAACTTGGACTGCCTGGTGTGCCTGGACCAGTGCAAGACCCAGTGCGACTGCGCTGCGCCTCCGCCCGAGTTGCATTTTTTTTTTTAAATGGTGCTTCCAATCGAAAGCTCCCCGGAATGAGGGGGCAGTGTGGGGCCCCAACTGATGAAATGGCACCAGGGCCGCTGTTCATTGACACTGTGGATGGACGAAGTTGCATTTTGTTTATTCATTGCCTCATGCACGAAATCGTGCACCACTTTGAAACCATGGGCAGCCATTGTTTGTTGGCATTTACAGGGGAACCATCATTCCAGGGTTTCTTAGGTGGTGCAGGATTTCGACCATCCACAGTAGGGACAGGACGCAAAACAGATGACTCGTCACAAGCAAGTTGGCCGCACTTGCCATAACTTGAGTCATTTTTGCTAGTGTCCTTAGAAACCCTTTCTTGCATTCAACTAGCTGCTTTCACCAAAGGAGCGCCATGAAATCAAGATCGCCGACAGCCCTCCAACGTTATTTTCTCCAACCAACCGGCTACCAAACGATTATGTTGTGAGCTCAGCAAGACTGAGCGGATCCGGATGGGAAAGCACACGGACATATCTGACACGTACACACAACACCCCGCTGCCTCAAGTCTTGGGCGACACGACAGCACTACAAGGGCGCAGTCCTTGATTTTGCTTGTCTTGAAATGGCCAAAAGCTGTGATGATTTTAAATTAACCCTAGAGGCTAGAACTGACCTAAGCCAACCCCGTCCCACGCTAAAACCCACCAGCCAACCCACTCCAAATCAAGCTTGACAAAACTACACAGAAGCCAAACCTGAACCAAACCAAGCCTAAACTCACTGCAGAACGAGCCTAAACCAACCCTACTTCACATGTGAGTTGGGCACCCTTCCTACATAGCATTTGCGTGAGGGTCAGTTTCCTCTGAAAAGGAGCCTTGAGCCACCTCCAACAGACCCTTGAAACCACGTAGAACACCCTCCATTTTAAGCTCGAATTGGGCTTGCTTCACAGGGCAAAAACTCGCAAATCCCCAAAAGGGTGGCGCCAGAACACTGTATTTTACAGTGTTTTCAGGCATCTGCAAGAACGAGGGCTCCGATGGGCCTCCAAATGCCATGACATCCATGAGCTCCAATGCCAAAAGGGCAATTGGGCGCGTAGCCATTCTGCCACAGGTGTTTGGGTTCCAGCTTTTTTTTTTCAAAAAAAATAACTATTTTTTCTATATATTGTTGGCTGAGGCCATGGAGGGCCATTCAATTTTCCGCGGAATCCGCCCGATTTTCCGCACTCGTGGACGGGCCCCACTTCTTCGGTCGGGGATCCGAGGAGGGCTACTCCCTCCGGCAGCAGTTCGCCTGGATCTGGTGGTTCCTCGCCTTCACGAGCTACGGCATGGAGCCGCTCGCTCGCATCAGGGGCCGCGCACACGCAGAATGGGCGGTTTCTTTTTTTTTTCTTCTCTTTTTTACCCCTTTTTTGTTGTTCTGCTTTTTTTTTCCTTTTCTTCTTTCCGTTTTTTGGGTTTCCCTGCCTGCGCCTGTGAACAAATGAAAGAGTGTTGAAGGAGGGTGCTCCATGTTGTTGGTTTCATGTTGAGTTCATTTCTTTGGTGTTTCCAACTTCTCCCCCTTGTGCTTGTCTTCTGTTGTTTTTGGTTGCTTCTGTTTTCCTTGTTTTGAGCTTGGTTTTCTCAAATGGTTGTCTTCAGCTTTCTTTTTTTCTCCTTTTCCTTTCTTCAGTTTTCCTTGCGTGGTTTCCCTTTTTTCTCTTCGTTCTTTTGTTCATGGTTGCTTTTCTTCTCGATGGGTGTGTCTTAAAGATAGGGGGACCTCCAAATTTATTGATTTATTTTTCGGCTTCCCTTTGAACAACTCAAAAAAAGACAGCAGTCTCCTTTTTGCCTTGTTTGTGCGAAGTGATACTCGTCAGCAGCGAAAAGGGTTCAGTCCCTGGCAGCAAGTGCTCTCTCTCTCTCTCTCTCTCTCTCTCTCTCTCTCTCTCTCTCTCTCTCTCTCTTTCCACATAAGCCCATGGTGTCGTTCTTGCCGGTCAATCACTAGTTGAGCATGAGCACAGAGGTACCCCAATTCTCCATGGAAGACCGCTCACGTGATCAGGTTTTCCAGCACGCCTTGCAACGGACGCTTCGCGTCGCGCTCACCCGTTTTGGAGTTGGCTTGTCAGGGGCCCGAGGAAGCTTTGGCTGGCTGGCTGGCTGGCCGGAAAGGGGGCAAAGGTTTGAACACCAAGCGTCCAGCTTTCGTGGGCAAGGCCAAAAGATGACCAAGTCACAAGGTAGGAAATTGGTATTGGGTCCTTTTCCTTGTCTGAGCAAAGAAACGGTGGATTTCCCAAAGGGTTTCCCCTTTGAAAACCACAAATAAGGGGGTAGCAAAAACACACACACACACATATCCAATTTGGGCTTCCTTCCCTTGAGAAGTCAATTTTTCAACTTGCAGTGTTAATTTGCAAGCCAATTGAGCTGTTCTCCAAATAGACGGTGGTTTCTCCCTTTTTGGAACCTCCAAGAAGTGGCGATCATTTCAATGGACGCCACGAGTAAATTGCAACGTTTTGCGGGGAAATCCAGCGACCCTTGTTTCCCTCTGAGAAGACTGAGAGCCTATTGAGCAGCCGGTAGTTTGAGAACCAATTGAGCTGCTCTCCAAATAGACTCCCAACATGGGTGGTTGTATTTTCCCTGGGTTTCCGAGCCATTTCCCTTTTTGGAACCTCCAAAAGTGGCAGTTTCAAAGCAAATCGTGGAGTTTTTCCTGACAAAAGCACCAAGGGCCGGCCTCTCCTCTCCCGGTGTCGAACCCGGCGCGTGGTTCGAGGCAGCGGCAGAAGCTGCTGTGGTCCCGGCCCTGCGGTCGCTGCGCGGTGGCAGATTGCTGGCCGAGCTGCAAGGCAACTGGGGGGGGTGACTTTTGGAGGCCAATCAGCTGATTTGTTGAATTGGGGAAGCGCGGGTTGCCCGAGCCACAGTCAAAACCTGGGTAGTTGAAGGTTAGCAAGGGACAGTCCCGGCCATAAATGGGTGCGGCCGCCTACGACCGCGTCCTCAAAACCGACGGGTGGACTCGCAGGTTACACTCCACAGCCGGAAGCGAAGCGAAGGCCATGGGAATGCCAAGCTTTTGGAGCTTCCAAAAGGGTTCTTGGGAGATTCCATGTTCGCCTGGGCAAGGGATCGTCCCCTTCTACATGCTTTGGGTGATATCCGCCTTGTCAGTTTCTTTTTGTGCATGGTTTTGGGGCTCGAGCATTTCTATCACTACTCAGTTTTGATGATGACTCACCTGAGTTTCACCCAGCACGAACCTGCGCTGACAAGCACGAAGCCCAAAACCAACCCACACCCACCCTGAAAGGCTCAAAGGCTAGTGGTCGAGCTGGAAAAAACGAACAGTCAAAAGGGAGATGTCACCTGGGGTCCCTTTGTTTTCCGCCTCGTTTTTTTTTTTTTGTCCCAAACTGAAGATCCCGGTGCAGAGCGAAGCACCTCCATTCACAGGATCGGCCAACTTCTCGCCGTCCCCGTGGCCACTATGGATTTCGGACCCTTTCTTGGTTGGTAGGGACGCCAAAGGGATGCCCCCCCCCCCCGCCCGATTTAGCGGACCACCTTCTTCTGGGAACAGAGATGGCTGTGGCTCATATGTGTCAGCCTTCGGTTCAGGCTGGGTGCTTGCCGGGCTGCCCGGCCATGGTGCACCCACATAAGAACACGACCCTAGACTGCGAGTGACGCGGAAAAAGCGGCGTGTCAGGGTTTGGCCCATTGAGGGTGGAGCCATGCACGAAACTGTAGGGAGAAACCACTGAGTCTATCTACCCAAAGTGGCCAGGATCTCATTGGTCTGACCCGCGTACTTCAAGTGTGGGGACACCCGGATGGCTCATGCACTCGCAGGCTTAATTGAATCGCAACATGAGGCCCCGCATTTGTCAGTCCGGGCCCCGCACTATACATGGTCAAGCCAAAAGGACTCCCTTTTTCTACCACCGTCACAGGGCAACTGGGGGCAGGGGGTCGTCTGTGCACCCCACCCCACCCCACCCCCACCCACCCCCACCCTACCCCCACCCCACCCCACCCCACCCCACCCCACCTCACTTCGCATCCCCACGAAGAGGTCAGTGAGTGCGCAGATGACCGGAATCTGAGTGCGCAGATGACCCCCTGCCCGTTGTAACTGGTATTTCGGAAATATAAAAAGAGACCCACAAGAAGTTGCAAGCAACCCCCACTTGTATTTTCCGTAGACATCGCCACGAGAAACTCTGAAGTCAGCTTGCTAAAAAGACAACAACTGGCAAGAATTTCCTTTGGGGTGGCGGATATTTTGGCTAACATCCAGGCCATGGCCGCATGCAGCTGCGCCGGGAGTGTTGGGGCCATGTGTTCAGGGTCCTTTTGCCCTTTTAACTTTAGTCATGGCTTCCACGTTGTTTAGGTCTTATGGTTGACATTTCCCTGTTTGGATCGAGGCCTCCAGACATTTGACAGGTCGTGAAGAACTACAAAGACTTTTACACATTTGATCACCGTGCAAGGTGTCCCTGCAAGAGGACACGGATCTTCCTAGTGCGAGGAAACAGCACGATCTAAGGGGCTAGAAGCGTTTTGTTTTTTCCTTTCAACATGGAGCAGATAGCAACTGAGCGAGCCGTTCGATGTCTCCGAGCGAACACGTTGCGCAAATTCAATGGCAAACGGCTCACCAGCAACGCGTGCTTAGTAAGAACAACTACGCAGGGGCCGATTCCCAATCGGGTGTTTCCACAAATCGGGTACTCTTAAGTGGTTTTCCTGTCAAGTGGGCTGTCGAGAATCAATGATCCTTTGCCAGATGGTAGGTGTTTACCACACCTTGTGCTTGTTTCCCACTATTACGCATTAGGAAGGTCGGGATCCGGACCCAATTGATGAATCCCATCCTAAGAGCTTAGGCTTCAGCCAAGCGTAAGTGGGGGCTTGAATCCGATTCACTCCCAGCCTTCCTGGACTCGTTGACTTGTTGGGACTCTTTTTGTGGTCGACGCGGGGCTTGTTTGGCTGCCATGGCCTTGGGTAGCGAGAGCACGGCGGAGGAAGAGGTGCCTGGCAGATGTCTGTGGGAGGGGGCGATTCTTTTGGTTTTTGCCCTGCGGGGTCCAGTTTCTTTTGTTGTGTGGCTGGCTGGCTGATTGCTTGCTTGTTTTGTTTGTTTGTTTGTTTGTTTGTTTGGCTGGCTGGCTGGCTGGCTGGCTGGTGGGTTGATGGACTTTTTCTGTATGTTTTTTCTTCTTATTTTGTTTCTCCTCCCCCGCTTGTTTGTTTGTTTGTTTTGTGGTACTGTGTTTTGTTTTGTTTGTTTGTTTGTTTGTTTGTTTGTTTTTTCGTTTGTTCGTTTGTTCGTTCGTTCTTTTGTTGTCGGTGCGGCGCTGGCAGTGTTGTCCACACCAGTCCATCGAGGCGCACTCTTGTGAAGCATATGACGGTCACTTTTGCCGATGCGCGATCCGAACCGATGATTTGCGTGCCAGAGCCGTTCAAGATACCATCGCTGGCGTTAGGAAAGCTGCCACTGTGAGCGGAGCAGCCAGAGTGCTGGCATTGGTGTGGAGCTACTCACCTCGTCGAAATTGCGCGCACTGCTCAAGTTCTTTGCTGCGATCCCCAAGATTCTTCAGGCCGATGAGACACATGCAAGTCGCATGGACGACATTCCTCTCGGCACCGGCACGAAGATCATTGTGCTGGCGCATTTGCAGACACCCCCCAAACAGACACACCCCTCGGTCAAGAGCAAAGCTGACCATACAGGGAGCGTGATGAGGTGTGGGGGGTCCAGCAACGGTTCTATGAGAGTAGGGCGGAAAGGGAATGTTTGCAGATGTGTATTTGTTACTTTCTTCCTCTACTACCGCGCCTGTTTGGGTATTAACTAGCATGGACTTCCAGAAACCTGGCTGAGTTGGACTGCTTTGGTAAGCCTGGGTGTCCAGGGACTGAAGAAAACCGTTGAAAGACGGAATCCGCAAATATGCCACCGAATTGGCCTGGTTCTTGAGCGACCTCAACCCTAAGCCTGGCATGGGCGAAAAAGCTAGATCTGATTTGGGTTTGGTATTGAACACGCCTTATCTTGGACACCTCGAACGACCCACCGCCTACTGTTCTGGGATGTTGGCCACATCGAATGGGTGTTTTCAAGAAGTAGACTAGACATTCAATATGTTTGCAATGGGGAACTCTAGGTTTCATTCATCTTGGCAATGTATAGCATTGCTTTTGCGGTGGGTCTGTTTTTGAAGGCAGGGTGCTGCAAATCGATGGCCTTTGCAGGACTGTTGCTCCCCAGCCTTCCGGCAGTCCGGCCTTAGGAGGCGACACCCACGCGAGGGAGCCTTTGCGTGCATGCCGCCTGGCCGGCAATCGGTGCGCAAGGAGTTCCATGGTGAATATGGGCGTGTGTGTGTTTGAGGGTACCTGGTTGGAAGTTTTAAAGGAATACGAAAGGAAAAGGCGACCATTTTGGGGGGCCCCAAACGGAACCCCATGCCTCAATTGGCTCCAACAATGGCGGGGAGTACGCATGAACATGTACAAGTGTGACCGGCAGGCCGTCTGTGCAGACTGCGGCGCACCAAACGGCAACTTTAAAAGTTTGTATGGCCCACAGTTTTCTTTGCTTTGCACCAACTTGGAAATTACTCCAGGCATGCTTGGATTGGTGGTCAATTTGGCAGGGACACGAGGGGCGCTTTGAATGCCACACCGGGACTGCAAATGAAATGACATGTTTGCCAGCTCACGGCCATGCTCAAGCATCGTTCCTTCACAAACCACCTGTTTGCCCCGGTTTTGCCCCCAGTTGTGCCCCCGGTCTTCTCGGGAGGATAACAAATTAAGCTCCTGGAAAGAATTGGACCATGAAGAAACCCAGGCCTACGGGCGCCTGGAAGAGGTGGGTGTCCAGCCCACGCTGGCCGCTCTGCGCCGGGCCGCCAACGGGTCGGCGCCTTCTTTTTTATTCTCGTCTAAATTAATTAATAAGTGAGCTTACCTTTCTGCCGGGGCTGAAACGAGCGACAGGCCATGATGTGGGCCCTTTTTGCTTTTGGATTTGCGTTCGATGGATGTTTTTCCTGCCGGTGCGTGCGAGTGTGCCTTAAATATGGAATGGAGCTTTTCCTTTGGTCCCTCCTCATGAGAGTTTAGTGTGTTGTCCGCACAACGGCTTGTGCAGTCAGTTGTACAGTGTTTTGGGGGAGTTCAGCGTTCTATCACGAGGTGGCAAGTATGAGTACACCTTCCAACATAGGCTCTTGCAATTCTCGGGGAAAACACTTGCGAGGTTCAGTCAGCATTTGTTGCATGATCAGTTTGGGGAGGGACGTAATGTTTCCAAGTCCATGACGGACAATGTGGCTTCCACATATTTTGACCATGACTCTTGCGGCAAGGAACATGGATACGTCAGCGATTCAGTAAACCCATCCTGTGGGTTTCTCTTGGCTTCCGCGTTTTCATCTGGCAGTTCAAGGTAGAGTCTAAGAGGGATCTCAAACCTTGTCTCCTACTTGGATCGATCCGCCCTTTGCTCTCGGAGGTTCGACCCGGCATGTCCCATACGCGCGCGGTCGCGGGGTCCAATACTTTGGGGTTTGGCCTCGGGCGGACGCAGCGTGCACACGAAAGCGGATTGCAATGCCGAAGATCCGTAGGTGGCGCACCCCACAAGCAAAGCGAGTCCACTTGTGACGCAGGCTGTGTTTGTTCAATGCATCGTTGTTTCCCGATGCAGCTCGCCTGGAGCCCTGGAGGCCAGGCGGCCAACTTTAAGTGCCCTGTGCCGGTTCCTTCACAACCCCAAGAAAGACAAAACAAGGAAAACATGGGAAGAAAACAAAACAAGAACAACAAAACAAAACAAAAGAAGAACAAAACAACAAATGGGAAGAGCGCAGCGTTCGACGTTCGAGGTGAGGCGGCCCGGGAAGCCTTCGACCTCCCGGACACCGAGATCCTGCTGAAAGGCGAGCCGCGACGCGAGCGAGCGGCGCCCCGCGGCGCCCGCGGCGCCCGTCTTGTGCGAGTGTCTCCAAGGCAAAAAAGGCCAGTCTGCGAATGGCTCATTGAAACTCAACCGGTTGTAGTTCATTTGATGGTCACAGGGAGACCTCTGGGAATTCTAGAGCTGATACATATGCTCGCAAACCCGACTTCGCAAGGGGTTGTGTTGATTAGATGCAAAAATCAACCCAGGCTCTTGCTGGACATTTGGTAATTTATGGTAACTGGATGGTTCAAGTTTCTGACCAGCTTCCGACGGCAGGATATTGGCCTACCGTGGGTATGATGGGTATTGGAGACTTAGGGGTTTGATTCTGGGTGGTGCGGTTGTGCAGTTGCCAATCAGTCAGTGTTCCTACCCAATGTACCGATAAAACGTGCCTAAACTGTCCAGGCAAACTGACCTTCACTGGACTAGGGGAAGGGGTGGTGCGGTTTTTTGCAGTTGACCTCACTGGAGTAGCGTTTCTTTGCAGGTTGAGTTTCGCCACGGGCAGCCGCTGTGGCTGGGCCAGCTGATTAGGGGGCGGGAAAAGGGTACGGCCTGCCTTGGTAGGTGGTTCCTGTGTGTGGGTGCTGCCATTCAAAGGGGATGCTGCGTCTGTGGTCCAACTTTCTTCTACCCGCACAGCAACTGGGAGAAGCACGTACCGCAGACTGCTGTGGATCGACTTCCCTCCGGCCCCTTGCTTGGACACATTGGAGCGTTTGCTCTACTAACCGGATCCTCTCCGGGCTGGCAGGTGATTTACGGGGTCTGGATCTGGTCAGGTCTGGTCGCCGTGCCAAGCATGTGCCAAGCATGGCAATGAGGCCAGGGCTGCACCTCAGATACCTTGCTGAGTCGCCTCACAGTTTGGCCGGGGGGTCTGGTTCTTCCTGTGCAGTTTTTCGTGAGCTGGGCGTGCTTGCAATGCTCAAAGCTGAGTGGCCACAGCCCACAAGCGCGAAAAACCCCGGAGGCTTGGTTGATCTGGCCTGGTACAGTGGGTGGAAGGGGCTTGGTGCTTGGCCATTGAGGGTCCAAGACGGGCGAACACCGCCCCAAAACTACAGGGTTTCCAACTGAAGCACCTGCAAAAGCAGACGTTGTGGGCTCAACTCGCACACCAAGCCCCGAAGCCCGCAAGAGTCGTGACCCACCTATGCAGCTCGATCCTGGTCGCTGTCCCTGCGGGTTTGTTTGATGAGTGTAGCGGAACGTCCAGAATCTGTTGCGCCATAGGCCCTTTTGCGAGATGTCCTTGCCCGATTGAGCTTCTGCGACGTTGTCCAGCGCCGCTCCGCACCTAGTGTATGTTGGGCAACATCACAGTACTTGTGTTGGGATAGAGAGGGCACCAAAGCCCCCCCCCCCCCCCTCCCGGCGTTTCACAAAGCGTTTTTTTGTTTCCCCTTTTTTTAAATATATTTATTTATTTATTTATTTATTTATTTATTTATTATTTTTTAAGAAGCAAACTCCACAGAGAAGCTTTCAGCACAGGGGGCCCGGCTGTTTTTTTCCCCGGCGCCCGGCGCCCAGCGCCATCGGCCAGGCCCCGATGGCCAATGCCTGGCGCCGGAGGGCGCCCCGGAGATTTCCTCAGCGCCCTGGCGTCGTCTTTTTGGAGTGGGTGCTCCGTGTTTTTTTTGGTATTTCTTGTGTTTTTTTGTTCGTCTTTTTTTTCTTCTTTTCTTTTCTTTGTTATTTCTGGCTGAACGGAGGGTTGGGGCCTCTGCTTCTAAAAACTGGGTTCCGTTCGGATGCGAAAGCACATGACTGTCCTTTGGTGAAAGCTTGCTGTTCACAAGAACCCGATTTTAGGGTCCGCTCCGATTTGAAGGGTGAAATCAATCGAACACTGGGTTAGAGAGCCGCACAAGTCAGGCACTTTGGTGCCCGATGGAAGTGGATTTCCTTGTTGTGGCGGGTGTCGCGCGGCGGATGGCCGATGAGGTTTAGGCCCCCCCCCAAAAAAAAAAACAAAAACAACGGCCTGGTGGGGATTCGAGTTCGGACAATTTACACAGCAAGTCGGGGCCCAATCCAGGATGCAAAGAGCACCTTCTGGCCGCAAGTTACGAGCCAGGACAGGGTTCCGGCGGCCTCCACCAGTCCGCCTTTTTGTTTCAGATTGCTTCCGCTATCAAGTAGGCTACGTTCTAAGAGACAAATCATTTGCATGATGAGGGTAGCTGAGGGCACAAACATGCACTAAGATGCAGCTGAGGATACATGTATTGCATTCGCCATGGTGACCAGTTCTTTCCAAAGCGGCTTAACCTTCTTTTTGATTTTCCGAATTTGGCCAGAATGTTCTTTGAACTTCTTGAGCAATGATGATTAGTTATCACAAGACCCGCTGCTTGAAACAGCATCCAACACAAAGCAGTTGGCTAACACAACAGCTGACTTCCCCTGACAAGTTGTAAAGTCCACTGAACAAATGGGTTTTGTTGCTCCTCGCCAAACATCGTTGGGCTTATTCTTCGGAAGCCCTAAAAACATGGGGGTTTGGATTCCATACTTGGGTGTTCGGCCAAGTTAGTAAGTTGGTGGTAACCTAGGTTATGACCCACTTCTAGTGGGCTTAACCCAGTCATTCGTGGGTTATGACCCAGGCTAACCACGTAACTTGGCGAATCGAAGATCCAACCTTCCCCCCAAAGGGCTTTCTGAGGTGTATCTGGAGCTCCAGGGCAACGGGCTCTTTGATTTGGAGCAGCGCATCGACCAGCTGCAGCATCTACAGGCAACTCCGAGAGATTTGGGGCGGTTGCTTGGACTGACCCCTTTGTTTGAGCCATGGTTTGAACTGCGATTCTTTAAGCAGCCCCATTTTGGTCTCCTCGTTTGAAGTGGGATGAGGGGATTGGTTGCTTAGACAAGTTTGCTCGAGGGCGGGGGGAAAGTGGGGGGTGGTTGATATTTGAGTGGCAGGGTTGGGCAACAAGCATGCTTCAAACAAGCTTGGCTTAACGTGGATGCTCCGCAGGACAATCTTTCTCCCGAGCGGCTTATGGACACTGGCATTTTCTATTTTGCCCACCTATCACTATCTCCGTCTTCGTTTTGAAGTGTCCACGATAATCCTGGATCTTGCAGGGAGGTCTGTGACAAGATGTCCCGGTCCCCCAGTTGTTTTTGCATTTAGTTGGTCCTCATCCAGCCAGGAGCACCATCAGTGGCTTCCTTCATCAAGGCTTTTGATCAGGTGATGCTTTCTCACCAGGGCATTCGTCCCTTGAACTGACATTCCACGTGTTGGTGCTTGGAAGCGACCCCGCTTTTGGCTTGAAGCCAGACACCAGCGCTGGGCCTTTTGTCATATTTCCATGGAGATGTTGATCAGGACTCGCGCTTTCTTTGGCACCAGCCAGTGAGTGTTTGCCATGGTTAGACCTTGAGGCGGAGTTCTCTTAAGACATTCCCATTCAGAGAAACGACGAAACGACAAGTGGGGAAGGCAGGCAGGGAAAGTCTTGGGAGCCCGCAAGACTTGGAGGCGACTTAGCTGCAACAGTTATTTGCCCCCCAGACTTCCCACACACACGCGCTGACCCCCGCACTTTTTGCCCAACTGTATTGCAACCACCTCCTTTACCGTGTTGAGTTGTGGAGGTGCAACATGCATGGGGACCTTCCTTTGTCTGCCTGTCACTCCCTGACCTGGTTTCCTGTTCTGGTTTTAACAACATCACCTTTTGGTTGCCACATGTAGAGCATGGCCAGGCTTCCCTATATTCCTCCTTCTGGTTCTATAACCATCGCCTTCAGGCGAGTTCTTCCTCGCGGAAGCATAATTTACAGTTGTATCTACATTACTACTATTTGAATATGCACTTTTTTTGCGCTTTTGATAACCAGAAAGTGAGTTGGGTGATGGTTTTTGGGTGGTGAAACGTCTTCCCCGGCTGGGAGCGAGCCGATGTTCTCTCCCCGGGCGCCCGGTCTCCGGGCTCGCGGTTGAGGTGAGCTACATCTCCGACCGGCTGGGCACCTTGGCGGAGGAGCAGGTGGCCTGCCAGGCCTCCATCGCAGGCGCGCGGCTTCGCGCGTCCGCGCCCGCGCGGATCGAGGCGCTTCGAGCGCCGCTTTGCGTTTTTTTGGATTCGGGTTTCTGGAGAAGGCAACGGGTGGGTGTCCTTGGCAGGCAAATCTCAGGATCATTGGGAGGCTCAAGACCCATTTTCCTTTTTGGGATGATCACAGGGTCGCCCCAATCTTGAAGTCGCAATGCTGTCTGGAGTCTGGTGGTTTGGGATGCGACTTTGAAGTCTGGTTCTTTTGGAAGCTCAAAGCAATCATTCCGTTGGATGCAGGCCGTTAGGTGTTGGTTTGTTTGGACACTCCCTGCAAAGAAGCCACCAATTTGTTTGAGGCAGGGGGAGGCGATCTCGGGAGACTGGTGTGAGGGCGGACCCCACCAACACCCTCCAATTCAATCCAATTCGACCAAACGGCGGCAAAAACAAGCACCCGAAAGGGGGTCCCTCCAAGAGGAACTTGATCTTCCAGGTACCCTCTCACAGGTGCATCAAGAAACACAACTCTAAGGGTTGATTCCCCATTCTTCTCAACCATCGTTCTTTTCAAAAACCGGCCGTTTCCCTGGATTTCCGGAGGTTTTCTAGAAAGATTCAGATCCCTGGAAAGACTGGGGAAGGTAGCACTAGAACAACCGCAAAAAAGGATGAGTACCGCGAGGCCTCACGGACGCGCTGATCGAGGAGCAGGCCTTCCGCCAGGAGTTCGAGGATGCGGTGCGTGCGGAGATCAAGCACGCGGGGGCCAAAGGGGTGGGAGGGAGGGTGGGGGTTGGGCGTGGGGGGGAGGTGGGGGTGGCAAGAGAAGTTGTCTTTTTGGGAGTTGAACAAACCCGCTTTCAGGGGTTGTGTTCCTTTTAACTTCCTCTTCGGGTGTGGTGCATGAGAATTCTATGGCCAATACATTTGGCTCAAGCTGAGAGAAAAGCTTGATTGCACTCGCCGGCGCCATTTGCTTGATTCACTTGAGTCACTTGTGTTTTGGGCATTTTAACTGGTTATCAGCCGTAAGGCTCCGACTACCTGATCGCGCACCTTATCAGCAGTTACAACGGCTGAAGAAGAGAGGCCCACCCGCACCCGAGGCATCAGGTCGGGAAAAGGGGCGAGGAGGCGTCGCGAAGCCTTTGTCTCCCATAGGGTGGCGCAAGGAACTCCGAGGGAAGAAGTTCAGGTGGTCCACGCAGACGGATCGAGCAGACCGTTGGGCACAAGCTCTTCCTGGGGTGAGGATCAAGAGGACTTCGAGGTGATTGAGATCGAAGACGAGGAGATAGCCCCAGCTGCAGGAGGATTGGCGGATTCGGAGGAGTTTGCTGTTGATTTGGGAAAAGGAGGTGAACTTCTTGTCTCATCATCGTCAAGGCGGGGACTACCGATTTCTGACAATTCTGCAAGCTCGGAAGCTCACACCCTGGCGGTTGCCTTTGCCTCTGCCTGAAGGGCCTCCTCCTATAGAGCCTGTTGGCACACCGGAGTCTTGGGTATCATCAGTGCCTGAGGGTGAAGCGCCGGGGAGCGGTCAACGCGTGGCTGCACCTCCATCTCGCATCTCGCGACCTTCAAAGAGCAGAAAGCTTTTGGAACAGGAAGCTGCAGCGAGTGAGGGCGAACCTGCGAGCTCTTCCTTCAAGACATCTCAAATTTGGTTACGGTGCTCAAGGGATTCTCCGCCTGCCTCAGATTCGCAGTCCATTTCCGAGGTGGGAGTTCTGACCATTGCACGACCCAAGGCATCTCAGGCCATCAGCGGTCTCAGGCCACATACAACTGCACCTACGAGGAATACTGGGCAGGCTTTAGCAGTTTCACGTCCTCCGCCAATCTCGGAGGCTGAGCGTGAACGGATTTTGAGTAAGGCTCTGATTCATTACTGCAGGGGTCCTGGCCCTCTTCCTCCGTCTCGAGCAGCTACAACTGCAAGGGACGCACGGGCAATTGTGTTTGTGGACTATCATCAAGTGAGCGATTGTTTCAGAGTATCAGCGCGAGAGCGATATTACAACAGGTCTGACGGATCCTTTTGTGATCAGACTCTTGGTGCTCTGAACACCATTGCCGCAGGGCTACCGGAGAATTGTTTCTTGGCTCAGCTCTCGTATATTCCAAAGGATCGCCGCACTGGTACAATTCAAGGGAATTACAATTACGGACCAGCACGCGCCGCCGCCGAACATTTGGAGCGAAGGACACCATTCAACTTCTTGATCTACACTCCGGCGAGATCTGGATCTGGCGGGAAACTGGAAATCGCTCGTGCATTTGCTCCAAAGGCGGAACTGCTAATTTTGACATAGCGGTTTCTGGCTGGAATTTGGGAAACGGGTAAAACTCGAACAACCCATGCCTTTGACTATCGTCTTAGGACGATCTCATCAGAAAGTGACTTGGAAAGGTAAAGAAGCTTACGCGTTTCAAGCCGCAGATTTCGCTCAGCAATGTGTAGAGAGATACAAGGAGCTAACAGAAATGCCAGTGCGCGCTGCCAGCACCCTGCATCTAGAGGATGGTTCATTCAGCCCAGAGGATCTCACTGCCAGGCGGGAACTCTTAGGCAGTGCTGCAAAGACTGTCATGAAGTTGTTGTGGCTTGCTCGGTTGTGCCGGCCAGATTTGCAAGTGAGCGTTAGGATCTCATGTAACTAAGTGGAGTAAGGCCGATGACAGGCGCCTCGCCCGTTTGATAGGTTATTTGAGTCGCACCACCACTTATGCCTTGCATTCCTTCATGCATAACCCTCTGGAGAGCTTGCGCTTGTCCTGTTGGGTGGACGCGAGTTTTGGTGACTGTGTGAGCGCCATGACGGGCTACTTCATTGCCCTTGAAGCCGAACACTCTTTCCTTCCTCTAGTGTGGGTGAGCCGAAAGCAGACTGTCACTAGCCGATCAACGGCTGAATCCGAAACCCGAAACAGTGGCTTTAGCCACCGCCGTGTACAATGATGTGATGCCCTTGGAGATTGCCTGTAAACTTCTCTTTGGCCGTGAGATTATTGTGAAGTGTTGGGAGGACAACCAAGCAGTCCTTGCGATTGTATCAAAAGGATATTCTTCCAAATTGCGGCACTTGCAAAAGACTCATAAAATCAACATTGCCTCATTGTCAGAAGCACTTGAGAATCCCAATTACAAACTGGATTACATTGTGACAACTGAGCAGAAGGGAGACATCTTGACGAAGGCACTCGGCCCTCAGAAGTGGGGCGCTGCCCTCGACTTGATCCATGTTGGGGATGTTCCGCAGTCAAGGCACGAATGAACACCTCACCGGCCTTCGAGCGCCTCAGGCTGTAGAGTGGACACAATTAAATTTCACGTGAAGTGAATTGCAAGATAATGCTTGGCTTTCACTAGGTCGTTGCAAGTCACCCTTGTGCCGCCAGGTCCAACCTTTTGTGCCTTGATTTGCCTTGCAGCAAAGAAACTTGTGTGTGCTTGGAATCAGGGGGGGCATTATTGCCCTAAAACCGGAGTCCTTTTGGAATGACCGGACATGCCGCCCTTGAGCATTGCCAAATCTTTGGCAAGCGTAATTGAATGCAAAGTGTACCACTAGGCTTTGAATACCTTCGCCGTGCAGCATTTGACGGTGAGCTGTTGTTCCTGCTTGAGTGCCGTGCATCGTCGTGGCCGTGTGTCTCTGCTTCTCAATTCCTTGGTATGCTAGTTTGATGCTTATGCACGCTAGCTAGCAACTTGAGAGTGTGCCACATGCCTGAATCATGAATTCGATTCACATCATTAATTCGACCCGAGTTGCACCAACCCAAATCACAAGAGGGGGGAGTTGAACGAACCCGCTTTTCAGGGGTTGTGTTCCTTTTAACTTTCTCTTCGGGTGTGGTGCATGAGAATTCTATGGCCAATACATTTGGCTCAAGCTGAGAGAAAAGCTTGATTGCACTCGCCGGCGCCATTTGCTTGATTCACTTGAGTCACTTGTGTTTTGGGCATTTCAACTTTGGGGGGGAGGTGGGGAGGCTTCTGGTTTTTGGGGGGTGGGGAGCCAAGAGGGGTGGAGATTGGTGGGGGAGGTGGGGAGGGTTGGGGGTTGGGGGTTGGGGGGGGTGGGGGTGGAGATTGTGGGGGGGAGGTGGGGGTGGCCAGAGAAGGGGTGCTGTTGAGACACTTGTCCGGGCTCGCTTGTCGGCGCGATAGTTTTCCGCAGTGGCTCGCAGTTGCCCGAATCAGGCCAGACGCACAGGAAACTTCCTGCCAAACTTCTTCTCTCCGATTTGCATGTGATTGAGTGTGTTGGCGCGCTTGGACAGCCACGAAAGCCGCAAAAGTGACCAAAACGGCCAAACTGGACTCATTCTCGTCTGATGGCTTCATTTCAGTTGGAAGGTACAGCCCCAAAAACTCAATTGAATTTCTTGGGCCCTTTCAAACAGAACACAAGAACAAAAAACATCCTGAGAGCTCAAAGGACATGTTTTGCCTTTGGCCCCGTCCTTCGGTTTCCCCCTTCCGAAAAACTTATCAAAGCGCCGAGGAGTGCGACGGGGTGGCGCTGCAGAGCAAGCGGAGGCTGGAGCAGCTGGAGCAGAGGCTGCGAGAGCAGGCGCGAGGGACGCCCCCGCAGTAGTCAAACCCCCAACTTACTGATGGACGAAATCCATTTCGCACCTAAGAAGCCTAAACATGTTTTCCCTCAGTAAATGCCAACAAGCACTCCGAGTAGTCAAACCCCCGAACCTATCAACTTCCATTTGCTGAAATATTTTTTTGATTTTTCCCTGTTGAATCTATGACTGCTGGACGTATTTTTTTCCAGGCGGCTAAAGCAAATGGAAGTCAGTGGATACCATCCGTTTATTGGTGGGCCTTCCGTTCTTCCAGGATCCCTGCCATAAGAAAAAAACGGGATTCATTGGATCGATCCTAAGAAACCTAAACATGCTCCTCCCCTGTGAATACCAACAAGCAATGGTTTCAACCATGGTTCCTTAGGTGGTGCGAAATGGATTTCGTCCATCCACAGTATCAATGGATACCATCCGTTCTCAGTTGGCTTTCCGTTCTTCCAGGATCCCTGCCATAGGAAAAACACGGACTCATTGGATCGATCAGGGCTCAACATGCCCAAAGAGTGGGGTTTTCCTTTTAGAAAGTGTTCCCTCGATTGGTACAGTCTTCAGATGGATCCGAAATTGAAACTGTCCCAGTCGCCCAGTAGCGTCCGTTTTTCTTCCGTTGGTTTTGTGGCTTCCCCTTCAAACAAATCAACCGGCAACAAAAGGGAGATAGCGACGTCATTCTATTCCCTTTGCATTTTGGGTGCATGCCCCTCAACAACCTCTTGTCCTCCACAGGCGCTGGGCAAGTAAGGCCTTCCGGATTTGGCTGTGGGTCAAAAATAGGTACCCAACATGGAATCCTGGTAAATGGAAGCATAGACTAAAACCTGTGGCCCATGCCCATTTGACGCAGCCTGTGCCAGCCTATTTTGCCTGGGACATCGCTTCTTGAAGCCCGGAATTCAACATGGCTCAATCCTGTGCTCAGATTCGGCCAGTCTGCGCGCTTTTCCTTTTGATGCCGCCAGCTAGACTCCATGGCCATGGTCTGATTTCTTTGAATGGGCATGAGGAGCCATGCGCAGAGTCATCCGAGGGAGGCGGCGAAGGTTTTTCGTCTTGGGATCTTTTAGGCTAAAAGAAAAGGCCTCCTGGGATTGAACTTACGCGGTGAAGAGCCAGGACGTGGTAAATGCTTCTTGAAAGAGCTCTGTGACCATCTTGCTGGAACCCGACGTCTTGTCTTTTGCTCTCTCTCTCTCTCTCTTTCTCTTTCTAGCTTTCTCTTTCTAGCTTTCTCTTTCTAGCTTTCTCTTTCAGGCTTTCTCTTTCTCGCTTGTTTGTTTTTTCTCTCTCTGTCTCTCTCTCTCTCTCTCTCTCCCTCCCTCCCTCCCTCCCTCCCTCCCTCCCTCCCTCCCTCCCTCCCTCTCTTGCGCTCTCTGTCTTTCTTTGGTGGACCAACCAACCGCTATTTGTCAAGAGGACCATTCACATCTTCTCTGTGGCTTCACGGGCTTCAATGGGGGGCCCGCTCTTCACCTTCGAACTTCACTCCCACACTTCTGAAAACACCGCACCGTAAAACCGGACATCTTCTGCTTTTTATTTGCCAGCTGTGGCAGCTCCAGCCTTTTTGTTTCTCCGTTCGCCCAGATTTTTCCCCTTTTGGGATTCAAACAGCCAGCCTTCGTCCCAGGCTCCGAGCTTAGCCACGGCGGTTCCCCCCCGCCGCCGAAAGGTGGACGAGGCGCTCCAGCGCCTCGAGGAGCGCTTGACCCGGGACCTCCAGGCGCGAAATCGGGCGTGTGGAGCTGGATTTTGTTTTTTGGCCAGGTGCCGAACCTGTTTTTCCCCCAACAGCTGAAAGCTTAAGCTTTGGGGTCTGAGCCCAGATAGGCTCCGGGGTGGTCCGGGGCAGCCCTGAGGTAAGGTTCCACGAGGGTTCCACCGAGCACTAAAAAGAGCACCGCATGCTGTTGGGGATATCACCCGAGCTTATTATTATTTTGTTGGGGGGGAGTGGTTTTTAGGCACATCCAGATTTTTTGTTGGGGGGGATCGGTCTCTCTACTTTGAGACATACTCGTTTTGTTGCTTAGGGGTTGGTCAATCGGGTAAGAATCGTTGACAGAATGAGTTTCTACTTTGGAAGTGTGCTGTGAGTGGGAAACGAATGGGTCGGCTGTGTTTCTTGTGAAGGCTTGTTGATTCACACGAACCCAAACTTCATGGCTAGGATAGGGACTTGATGGTGTCTATGCATTTTGGCTCGGATTTGGGTGTCGTCACTGGGTGTCAAGTGTGGACAAATTCCATCGCGAGGGTTCCTGTTCAATTTCTTCTACAGAAAACCACGGGAAACCAGGGGTTTCAGAGAGACACCCCTAAGTTTGGACACCTGTTTTTGGACACCCCTGGAGAGACAACAAAAACCAGGCCCAGGCGATAGCAGCCCCGGAACCCTCCGGAACCCTCCAGAACTTTCCGGAACCCTCCACAACCCTCCGGAACCCTCCCTGGAAGCTGCCCCAAACCACTCCAGTGGGGCCTATCAAGGCTTCCAGGGGAAAAGTTTGGTGATTCAAAGCACGAGAACGCATCAAGACGAACATGGAAGCTCCCGAAGGGAGCCCTCGGGACTTGGTTCCAACGGTGGCGCGTTCAAAGCGAAGCGTTCCGGTGGTTTTGTTTGCCAACAATCGAGCAATGGCCTTCAGCTTTCGTTGGTCGCCGTAAGCACGCACCATCCTTTTGGGAGCTTCCATGTTAGTCGGGAGTCTACAAGAAATCGCGGCATATGGCTGTGGGTCAACAATGGGATCCCATTTTGGGGTCGGTGCACCACCCATTTTAGAACCTACTTTAGTGGGGATTGGGATGTTCACTGGAGGGTAACCGGGGTTTTGACCCATGGCCAGATAAAACCCGGGTAGATAAGGTTAGTAAGGGACAATCCAAGCCATAAATAGCTGCGGCCGCCTTCTTAATTCTTCACATGGTTCTGGGTAGACCATTTTTATATTTTGCATGTGCTTGGTTTTCATTCACATGGCGTCAATGAGTCAAATTACTTCTTCACATGGTTTTCATTTTGACTCATGTGTCCTTCGAAATTCTTCAGCCGCCCCTAGTCGGCCAAGGACCTGTGGCAGTGGACGAGCGATGAGTGCCGCCAGCACCGGGACCGGCTGGAGGGTCTGGAGCCCCGCGTCGGGGGGCCCGAGAAGATCTTAGAGGGGGCGGTTTTGTTGAGGTCCTTGGCGTTTTCCCTCTTTTCTTTTGGGGTCTCTTGGGTCAAATTTTTTGGGGTCAAATCCATTTTTTGGTCTCGCACTAGGGCTTACACTGGCTTCTGGGTGGTAAGTAGGGGGTCTGGAAAATAAGCACATGATTCATCGCGGTGTTGTCGGCTTTCAGGGAAATCACACATGAAAACCACCCAGGATTTGCACGCCAGGGCTGTGCTTGCCAAGCAAGCGTGTTGCTTTTGGTTGGGCGCCACGTGTTTGGCCGCAGCCCAAAGCGAATCGACCGAATCTGACCTGTTGGTTTCCCTGATTTGGCAACCATTTCTAGTCAACCAATCAAAAGGTTAACCTGTGTTTCTGAAACAGAACCACACAGACCCGGCCCGAGGTGCATAGCTTTGGCGCTGCGGCGCGCGAGGCGCGGGTCGAATTGCCGACCTTCAGGTGCCCATTGTGTTTTGAAAGGGGAGAACAACAAGTTTGAGGTTTTCTGCAGAGGTCAACAGCAACCAAGGAAAATAGACCCCCTTTTCGCCATGACGAAGGGCGGATCTGCGAATTTTGCCGCTTGCGCGGAACTGGCATTTTGGAAAATGCCCGCGGTTCCAGCGGTCTCTCGGCTTTGCGGATCAGGATTTTTCTGACGCAAGGCGCGCGCAAGAAAGATGATGGGAAAATCGGCAGGAAGTTGGTACTTGGCCAAGTTTGTGCATGTGGTACTTGGCCAGTGCCGCACGTGTTGTTGTCGTTTTCTTGGGCGGGGGATGGCGAAGGCGGCTCCAGCCGAGGCATGTGTTAGGGGTCGGCTCCAGCACATTCGGGGGAGCTTCGGTCAATTTGGAGTCTACGGTCCATTTGGGTGAAGAGAAGCACAGGACGTTCTAACTTTCGACAGCAAAAACTGCGGGTCCCCAGATTTTGCCTGTGACTCCTCAGACCAAGATACCACGCCTCAAGTCTCGAAAAGCCTTGAGGAGTGCACCACAGGAGTGGAATCCAAGTCTGTCAGTCTTTCTTTTTTTTTCAGGCACCCCTTGGTTGAAGTATCCCTGGCCGTGCTTGTTGCCTCACCAAGCTTGGGGAGGAGCAACCAGTGGTTTGCTTCATGCCGTGGGGCCAGAAAGAGAGGGGGGTGCCTCAAGTCAAGAAACAGCAAGTCTCTTCGCCCCCAGAAACTCACAGAAGGGTCTCGAAGCTTGGGGGCGAAACGAGCAGCTTGGGCACTTTCAAGTCTTTCGTAGCTCCCTGCCAGCGGCCTTGTGGTTACAAGGGATTGGATCTGGAAAGGAAATCCCGAGCAATGGCCAAATTTATCAAAAAGTATCCAAAAAGTATCCCTTGCCCCCAAAACCACCGTCCCAAAGACATCCCCACACACCAGTAGACAGCAAGAGTCTTCCCCAAAGCACTGCAAGGCACTGCAAGCCCCCCTCACATTGTGGCAGAATCCGAACATATTTTCTTTAAGGATGTTTGAGGGCGCTTGACATACCCATGCATATATGAGGAGATGAGGTGTGTGTCCGTGTGTAAGGTTGCTTCTCTGCATCAGGTGTGCATCCGTTCATATTGGCTGCTCACACACTGGTACCCCAACTGGGCGCAAAACTTATGGAACAAAAACAAACACCTGCATACCCCCCGGCCCGGTTCGTCATGTTTGCCGAATGTTTTCTCTGGCCGGTTCTCTGCAGGAAATGAGACATGGAATGACTCCGAGATAAACCATCCCCGACGTGGTTTCCTTTGTTCGGGAATCCGCCCAAAACTGGTTCATGAACCCAACACCCGGACTCATTGAGTCCTTCCCTACCGAACGTCGACCCGGTTTAAGCAGAACCCCAATTTTTATTCCTCTGGGGGCGTCCCTGTTTTTGGGGGATTCATCACTTGAGGGCACCACCCTTCATACCGTGGATGGACGAACTCCTGCACCACCTAAGGAGTTCTGAAATAATAATTCCCTTGCAGCCATCAAGCCAGGGTTTCTTTCCCCTGGTTTCCTTGGGTGCCGCGAAATGGATTTTGCCCAGTTTTGGCCTGGTCTCCAAGGGGCGCGACATGGATCTCGTGGACCCATCTGCTTCCTCCGCAGCCCTCGCGCAGCGCCCGCGCCGCGCTCGCACCGCGCGAGAGGCCTTGGAGTTCAGCCAGGGCTTGCAGAGCGCCTCCCAGGCGGCCGCGGCCGTTTTCCCCGGTCTGCGGCTTTGGGGCGGCGCGGCTTCGTTTTTTTTGGGGCGGTGTGTTTTTTCTTCTTCTTCTTCTTTGTTTTTTTCGTATTTTTGTCGGTCCCTTGTTGGGGTTGGTTGAAAGGGACACCCCGGGGGCAAGACGCGCTTCTTGCGGGGATTTCGCGAGACACGTGGTTTGGATGGAGGTTGCCAGCAGCGCCCCCAACATCCGCCAAGTTACGGTTTGAGCATCCAGCCAATGCTCAGCGTGCTTCTCCTTTTGGGGCTCATGTAAGGGGGAAGTAGGGGAAGTGAGTTTCTGGCCACCTCTGGGGCAGCGCCGAGCATGTCGGGCGCATGTCGGGCGGGGTTTGTCCGAACCCAAAGCAGGTCATGGACGCGCGTTTGGGCCGTCGTTGTCCGCCAGGGACGTTTCTGGGGTCATGATTTTGACTATTTCCAGGGGTTGTGAAAGTGAGACACTGGCTGGAGGTTTCACTTGAAACCACCACTTGGGGGGTGACTTTGATAGTGGTAAACAAAAAGAAATGGCGCCAGTGTTTGGCGTCTTCCATGCAGGTGTCTGGGCACTTGCAAACATCTGGTAGGAGGTGCTCCTGGGCAGTGTCCGATCTCAAGGGGCCTCGCTGCCCCGTTTTTTCTAGTTCAAGCGATTCCCAGACAAACAATGTGGCGTGCTCACTTCAGCACACTGGTCCCTTTTGTTCTTGTTGGGATCCAGGACCCTTCGATCAAACCCCCTTCCACTGTCAACTTCAAGTTTGTGCGGACCACCAGTCCGAGGACTCATCCTGAAAGGAGTTCATCCGCCTGAAAGGGGAACCGGCCCTGATCAGTATGGATCCGGATAGTCGAAGTTGACTTTCAGCTTCTAAGCGTTCCGAAAGCGTCGGGGCCTTGAAGAATGTTTCCAAGTGAAAATCCTGGCTGGTGAAGCGCCAGGCTTCTCAAGTCCCGAGAAGCTTTTCCCGGGCGCTTCTGGCCTTTTCCCGGGCGCCTCTGGTGCCCATTTTTTTTGAGCCAGCGGACAGCTGCAAAACGGGAAACAGCCCCCTGGCACCCTTCGAATCTTGATCCCCGATTCATGAACTTCCGCTGATTCGTCTGCGGGTGTTCTCCTTGAGTTATGAATCCCCCAAAACCAGGGACACCTCCGAGATAGCCAAGTTGCTGCTTGTTTCAGTCACTGTTGCTCTTTTTTGGGGTAAAGTTCATGGGAAAAAGCGATCGCAACTGGCGATCCTGGCTGCATATTACTACACCAGCGGCTTATCCCCTGGGGTCAACCTCAGGGTAGCCTGATCGCCTCAGCTTCTTCCGTGCCTTCGCCCGGATGCCTCGCCAGGGGCCTGTGAAGGAGTGCCTGGACGCGCAGGCACGGCTCTCCGCGCGAGTCGACGACCTCTGCGACACCCTGGTGAAGGAGGCGCGCGGCACAGAGGGAGCGAGGCTGGGCTGGCAAAGCTTCGGGGACTCGAAGGTGGCTTTTGGTGGCATTCGCGGTCAACCCCATTTTTTTCTTTTGGGGTGGAGAACTCCCCTTCAGCCATGGTTCAGCGGGATTTTTGTTTTCGCGCCAGGCGGTTTTGCGATGGTCTTATTGGGAGACACTTCTTTTCGATGGGTTCCCTGCAGGGTTGGGCAGCATTGGCTTCGGCAGCATTGGCTTTTAGGCCACCTAAGGGAAACCAAGAGGACAATTGCAGATGGAGCCATGGCTTCACAAGCTGGCCCTAAGCTTGTTGGGTCGCAGGTGGAGTTGGCTGTCCGTTTTTGTTCTTTTTGGTTCTCCAGCGCTTGTGATACTTGCGCGGTAGAGCTTCGCAACCCTCTCGCAGATCTTTGTTTCAGTCGGCCCTGTTGGGAGGTTGGCGGCTTTTTTCAGGACAGCCAGTGGGCAACTGCACGAGATGAGAGGAAGCAAGTATATGTTTTCTCCGAATTCTCCAAACAATCTGCCCCAGGTTGAAAAAAGGGCGGCTCGCCCCTCGCCCCATTTTTGTTACCCGCGCCTCGCCTCGCCGAAAAAGGCCTGAGGCGGCTTGAGGCTCTGTCTCGGGAGGTGCAAGAGCGGATGGCGGAGAGCCGGCGGTTTCAGGAGGAGCTCTCGCACCGGGACGAGCGCACCGAGTCCTTGCGGGACTTTGGCCAGGCGGGAGTTTTCGGGGGGGGGGGGGGAGGGGGGGAAAGGGGGGGCAAGGGAGGGGGGGGGGAGAAGGCTTCGGATCGCGTAGAGTTCTTACAGCTACCCTGAATCAGGGGAAGAGGGCTGCAGCGCTTGCGTTGTGTTTGAACCGGTGAAGTCTTTGAAGAAGCCTCAAGGCGCGTTTTCTCATTTTCAGCATTTTTGGAAGGAACTTCCTATCCCAACATCCTGGAGGCCCCTTCTCCCGGCGCGCCGCGTGGAGGATCGATCCCTTGGGAGCCCTGACTCGCGCGCTTCCGCAGGAGCTGCATGCGGCAATGGCGCATCTGCGTGCTTCGCCGGAGGCCGTGTGCTTCGGAAGCTTCGGTTGGGCGGAAGAAATGGCCGTGGGTCAAAATTAGACCACCAGGAATTGGACCGCAGGTTTTAGTCCTTGGTTCCATTTACCATGGTTCCATTTTGGCACTGTCGTTGGTATGGCTTTTCGGATTTTTTGGCGTTCTGTTCATTTTCAGTGGGGCGCTGCAACCAACTTCAGGTTTTTTGCCGGGTACCTTTCCCATTCTTTCCAGGGATCCTTCTTTCTAGAAAACCTCCGGAAAGCAAGGGAAAACGGATCTGTTTTTTGAAAAGAACGATGGTTGAAAAGAATGGCTGGAAGCGGAATCAACCCCTAGAGTTTTTGCTGCACCGTTTGGCTTGGAAAGCTGGCCATGCCCGGAGTCGCTGGGATGCGCAGGCGGAGAAGCGGGACCGGGACCGAGACCCGCTGGAGCGCGCCGTGGGCCGCTCGCCTGCCGTCGCCGAGCGCGGAGCGGTGTTTTTTTCCTCGGGCGGCGGGAGGGCTTCGCTCCTCGAGTTGCGGAAGACAAACATTTAAAGCAACGGTATTATAACTCTATGGCCCAGAATCAAAGAGGTTTTTCTTTGGCGAATCAAAGAGGCTTTTCTTTGGTTGCCGAATCAAACAGCTTTAATTGGTTGGGGGAATTGAAGGGCTAGGGCAAACCGCAGGTTTTAGTCTTTGGTTCCATTTACCAAGGTGCCGGTTGTTTAATCCACAGCCACATTTAAACCAACTACTTGGCCCAGAATCAAACTTTGTTTTTCTTTGGTGGGCGAAAGCTTTTTAGTAGGTTTCTCCTTTTGCCGTTCTCCCAATCGACTCACCTGGGCGGGGGAGCGGGTCCCTCCAAACAAAAATCTGCTTTACATGAAAAAGCCATGTGGCCGAAATCTTTATGTGGACGATGGCTGCCTCACAAGGTGGTTCAAGGGTTTATTTGTTGGGGTTGGTTTAAAGGGAAGCCACCAGGACAATCACAGTTCTTGGGGGTACCCCAGAACGAGACACACCGAATGTGTCTGCTGTTTGCTGTGTGTTTCGATGGCAAAGTTGCAAAGCTATGAAGATTGCCCTGGCTTGGAGTCAGTCATGGAGGGTCATGTTAGATATGGGAACCCCACCAAACGGCTGGTTTTCCCTAGTTTCCACAACCACAAACACAAGCACAAACACACGCACAAACACGACCCACAACCACAGACACGAACAAAGAAAAAACATCCGGGGGGTTGTCTCCAGCCTCAAGTGGAGGTAGCTGATCGGTAGTTGACCAACGGGCAAGCACTTGGTTCTTATGAAGGGGGTTCTCGTGGAAGAAGGAGCAGCAAACGACACTGAACCCATCCTTCACCAGCCTTGCCATGAAGGCGCCACTTGCCTTTGAAGAAGCCCTCAGCCCACCTCAAAGATAGGGACCTCAGATTTCAGGAGCTTATCCTTCGTCATCCCTAGAACAGCTTTTAGATCGGCCACATGTCGCCCTGAACACTTCTGCATCCTGGGAGCCCCCTACATTACGAACGAGCGTCAATCCACATCATTGATGGTCAATGCAGACACGAATACTGTTGATGATAGACAAAACCCAACCGCAGGCGGCAGCGTTCAGCGGAGTAACCTCCAAGCGAAGCCGTGGATGACCGGCTGAGGCGAGCTTTCTCGGCAAATGGATGAGTGGCGGGAAGAGCAAGGCCATCTCCGGCGACAGTTGCAGGAGGAGAGCGACATGAGGACGGGTGAGGTGGTGGGATTGATGCGGCTTGTTTCTTTACACTATGAGCAGGTTTCGGGATCTACTTACAGTTAACTCAGCCAACCCAAAAAATGCTTCATATATGTTTCTCCACCTTTCGAATTACTGGGCAACTGGGGACTTCTCAACATGTCTTTTTAGTTTTTTGAAATTGGCCGGTGTTCAGTTCACCCTGAACTTCTGATTTGGAACTTGTTGAAGCCTGGTTCTGGGAAACCAATGGACGACTCGCAAAAGGGCCTATGGCGCAAAAGGTTCTGGACGTTCCGCTACACTCATCAAGCAAACCAGCAGGGACAGCGACCAGGATCAAGCATAGGCACAGGCGGGTCACGATTCTTGCGGGCTTTGGGAACTTTCGACGGTCTTCAGCCCCGCGGGTCCTCTTCCCCTCCCGTCCTTTGCGAGGACGGAGGCCCAGTCCCGCCTCGCGCGGGGCATGTCCCTGCTGGAGCAGGCCTTCCAGGACATATTTGTTTCGCGTCGTTTTTTTGTCGATGGGTGAAGAGGTTACGACGTGTGCCACGGTCAAACCACGGCTTTACTTGGGGTTCACAGGGATGGTCATCCACCTGACAAGGAGTCTTGAGAACCGTTTTAGTCTATGATGTGAGAGTTGTGAGCTGCTATGGGACAGATTGACCCCCCAAAGAAGCGCACGGAACCTGAAAGAGGGTCCCTGGAGCAGAATGAATTGGCCCTTTCATGGCAGACTGTGGACTGCATCAGAATCATGAGCAGAAAAGTTACTTTTGACGGCTTGTGCGTCTTGAGGCGCCAGATCCAGTGCTTTGTGTCATAGATGGCAGGTTCTTTCGATGTGACTTGGGGAGAGCGAACATCCAAGTGTTTTGGGTGCAAGCTTGACTTCTGCTCGAGCGCGGGGCGTGGACCTTGGCAGCATGCAATGCCAAGGAACCAATCTCCAAAGCAACGCATCCCATGGTTGGGCTGCATTGGGATTTCTCCACAAGGTTCAGGCTAAGGCACACCTCTTCCAACGTTTCTCTTCATCCGCCGCCTCGCTTTGAAAGCCGCGCTGTAACTTTATCCCGTACCGGATTCATCCCCTCAAATAGGCACAGGGCTGATCTATGTGTCCTTTTTGGAGTTGGTGCACACTCGTATCGTTTCACACTGTAGATCAGACCGATTTGTAGCCACAGCTTACATCTCAATACCATCGCATCGCACCTCTTGTTTGGGTTGGCAGTTGGAGGATGACGAGCGCGCCGAAGGCGACAGATCAGGTACGACAGCAAGCATGCGTGCTCGGAGGTCAACAATCAACTGGCAAAGAAGGGTTTGCAAAGGAATCCACAAGGCTGTTCCGGACGTACGAGAGGTGCACGAGAGACCAGTCGTCGCAAAGAGCAAGATGCTGTTCGAGCCGGCAAGGTGCTGCCGCGACCGCTTGCTTCTCCAGCCATCTCGCTGGTCCCAGACATGGAGGTTCATCAGGTTTTTTTTAGCATCTCAGTTTGTTCTAGGTACCTTCAATGGTAGGGGGGGTTTACAGACCTCTGCTATGTCGCTGCGCTTGAGCTGCCTGAAGGCGCTTTCAGGGAGCCATGTGCTCGTCAAGAGACATGACTGGGGCATGAAGGTTAGTAAGGGGCAGTCCCAGCCAGAAGTTGTCGCGGCCGCCTGCTTAGTTCTTCACATGGTTCTGGGGTTACGACCATCTTAATCTCAGGTTTTGATTGTGACTCACCTTGTTTTTGGAGGAAAGAAACGGGGCCCAGTCGCGTCGAGCGCTCGATCTACGTCCAGGAGCTGCAGGCAGAGGTCAAGGGCGCCGACGATCCGGTGAAGTCGAGCGCGTCCGAGGATCCGGGATTTGGGATTGGGGGGGGGGGTTGGGGTGTGGTGTGTGTGTTTTTTTTGAGGGTGCCGTTCCTGGTTGGTGCTAAAAGGAGACCAAAAGATCAAGAATTCTTTTGGGGCCCCCAAAAAACTCAAGCCTTAAGCAAATTGTCCTCTTTGCTTTCTTTGAGGCATGTTCTACATACCGACATGGCCCCACTTTTGTGGTGACTCCCAGAAGGACGACAGGGATCAGGGTTCCATTAGGTTTCTCTTATTTGGTTACCCTTTTCCAACAATCATGGAAGTCGACGTGATCCATTTGTTTGAGGGGGTGCCAAATTTGGGTCACCCAAAAAAAGGACCAACAGGCCTAGGGGCTTGTTCCTTTGGTTTTGAAGCCAAGTCTCCTGGAAGACCATGTTCTGCAGTGGGTTTCGTGTTAGTTGGTAGGGGTTCCTTCCAACCATTCTTTCCCAGATCCTTCTTTTCAGGAAAGCATCAAAAACCCAGGGGAAACGGATCTGGTGTTTGAAAAGAACGATGGTTGAAAAGAATGGACAAGGAATCAACCTCTAGATAGTTGGTAGGAGGAGCTTGGCCAGCCAAAAGTTGGACGTGCGGGTTCTCTCCAGGAGAAGGCGGCGGCGTCGTCTCCTGGTCACCAGCCCGGAGCCCAGCGATCGCGCGCGGTTGGGAGGAAAGGTGGGGCTCCTGTCCATAGGTGTCCTTGCCAGGTGAGCCTGGTTACAGATAGATGGGTTTTCCTGGATTAGATGGGTGTTGTTCCATTTGCCAGGGAAACCCATCCATTTTTTCCAAAAGGCCACCTATGCTCCTTTCAGGGCACCCCTTTGAGAATTTGAAGGCACCAAATCACACCAAAGCGGGAGCAGTTGCGCGGCCTGGATTAGACGGGGGAGGGGGGTCCCGAAATGTGCTCTGGGGCGTGGGCCGCCAAAAAGGGAAGGAACATGCTGAAATGCGGAGCCTTTTCCCTCTTTTTGCTCGTGCACATTTGGCTGTGGGTCAAAACCAATGGGATACCATTGTGGGGGTTTTCGGTGAATTCACCACCCAGTTTAGAACCTATTTTAGTGGTTGGATCGAATCGGATGTTCACTGGGGGCTCACCGATTTGGATTTTGACCCATGGCCATTTGATCAAACAGGGCGGTGGGTAGTTCATCCGCGGGCTGGCCAGCCTCGCGTTTGGAGCCGGCCGGGTCTTGAATCCCAGGACCGACGGCGACCCGGAGATTCTGGAGGTGGTTCGCCAGGTGAGAGAGGACCCGAAGTAGCTTTTTTTTTGCATTTTTTTTCTTCTTCTTTTTTTTTTTGTTCTTGTTATCTCTGAAAGGTACTGTGCTTGAAAGAAATTTGCATGGCGCAGTTTTTTTGTGGACGCTCGCTGGCATTCAATGGTTGTCTAGAATTGCTGCCAACGAGGGGTCTTTTTTTTGCCAGCACCGGGATGTCTGACCTCTTGTTTTCCAGTTTTGGTCTGCATAAAATGGGGTGTTTTCCTTTTGGATTATCTTTGATGTGCCGTTCCTTTGCTGTGCCAATATAACACCCCCCCCGACCCCGCCGCCCCAAGCCCATAGACATAGCTGTTGGGGGCGAAAGACACACCCATTTCCAAGGTAGGCGAGAGGGTAGCGGGGAGCGAACCTTCCCAATCAGAAATTGAAATGGCTTCTTAGAGCCCTTGCTATGCCCCGTGTGGTTTTCGGCACCTGGTTTCGTTTGCGACTTCCTTGTGGGGTGGGATACATGAGCCAGAAAACATCGAGTTGATGAAACGTGCGTTTGGCCCATTGACCGAGTGGCGGGTCACTGGTTATAACATGGGCGTCCAGCTTCCCAAGATGGGCGGGGTCCAAGAGGTGGAAGGAAACCCCTACCAGAGTGTAATGTTGACCCCAGATTAATAAACCCCTGTTTATTAATGTGTGGGGATTTTTCACTTTTGGAGTTGGACCACCCCGATATTAATAAACAGGGGGTTATTAATCCGGGGTCGGCATTACTTTTCTGGAAGTTGAAAGGGTCGGTAAACAAGCTTATTTGTAGGGAATGCGAGAATGCAGGGCTTGTTCGGTTCTCGCTGGGGATGATTGAGAGGAGACATCGACGGCGTTTCCTGAAAACAAGCAGGCTCTGGAGTCCATCCCGTGGATATCCCATCTCCAACCAGTTTGCGGGGTGGGATTGAGACATGAGGCTCTACAGGTATCATTATTCTTAAACAGAAAAGAACTGCCAAGTAGAAGGGCTTTCAAAGCTCGAACTGCTCAAAGGGGAAATTGCACACACAAGCCACGAAACGCAACACACGAAGCAAACGACCCCCTCCATAAATGGCAGCCCTGGCCGTTAAGAAAAGTGGCCTGTGACTTCGATGAAGCTCTTGGCCGTCGATTGGGCGCGGATGTTGAAGCAACCCACTGAAGCAGCTTCTTCCGCCAGCCCCCGTTGGCCTGGCCTCCTGGTTCCGAGCCACTTGCCGCTGCATGGCAAGGAGTGCTTCGAGGCGATCCAGCGGGAGGTGCGCTCGCGCCTGCAGGACCGGTTTACCACTTCCATGCCGCCAGGGCGGTTTTTTTTCTGGGATGCCTCCATTCAGTGCGTGATGAGTTTGATGCGATGGTTTGCACAAGACGTAGTTTTTGACAACATCTTGAGCGGAAAAAATGGTTGAAAACGCCAAGCCCTTTGCCCTGGCGCTTTTTGGCAGCGCACCACGAGTGTTTCCAGCTGGTTTTGTTTTGATTGCCCGCTCTCCCCACATGACCGCTCTACCTCTTTGTGAAATCCTCGTGCGCCCCCCCTTAAAGGGCAAGGCAAGGGGACCGTTCCAAATTAACACGTCGCGGCTCTTTTCCTTTTGGAACTTTCTAGATGTGTCATGGAAGGAAGCTCATCTCTCTCTCTGAGACAGTTTCCAACTCATGCCAAGCTCTCCCTTGGAAGGGACAACTGAGTATTTCCCACATGCAGTTGGGAGAGACCTGGGAGGGTTCCAAAAGACAAACAACTCAGCAGGACTGGGCGTACCCTCGCATTTATCTCCATGGGACCCGGAAAGCATGACATGTCGGCTGGCTTTGGCTTCGCAATACCTCCTTGCCGAGTTCAACTTTGGGTTTATTCGCTTTTGGGGTTTGGTGCATTCGAGTGCAGAAAAAGTTTGGACTGTTGGGCCGCCCAGTTGGGCCCATCCACTCAGGCAGCTGACCACCCTTGATTTCCGAGGTGCGCATGAGGCGCATGTCCATTGGTTGATTGCCTCAGCAGGTTCGCTTGGTTCCAATGTTTGTTGCGCATTTGGCACTTGCAAAAGCCGACAGGCTACTCCCTTTCATCGTGAATTGCACAACGCGCCCGCCAGAAACGGCGATTGGTGGCATCCGAGTGGCCAAACTTTCAGAGACACCTCTTTTTTTTCCCCTTTGGCGAATCCTTTCCTTTCCTTTTCCGGCGGCAAGAGTGCTATTTGGTGGCAGAGATGTGGTAGAAACCACCCCCACCCAAACAAAAACAAACAAACCAAGCAAACGGGTGTTGAAAACCAGCCCCCCCCCAAAAAAAAAAGAAGAAGAAGAGAAAAACAACGAACAGGAAAAAAACAACAACAAGCAGAAGAAAGGCAACACCAACAGAACCTCTGGCTTCAGAGTTTCCACCCCCTGGGCCCTCCCTCCCGTTTGGGCTGCGAAGACCTCCACGCAGGACGCGGCGAAGCTGCGCCAGGCCCTGGAGATGGAGAGCAAGTCCCGCAAGGCGCGGGGTCGAAGGGGGCGGCCACAAGGGACGTAAGCGCCGCCTAGAGCGCAGCCGCAATGAGTCTGAGAGGGACGTCTACGAGAAATTCTTCCGCCATTTTTGTCGAAAAATGATGGGAATGAGGTATGGCAAAGAAAAAAGGGTGTCGGTGTGCGTTTGGTTTTTGAGATTTGGACATGTTTTGTGTGCGGTTAGTAAGATACGAAGACCTCCCCCCCCCGCCCCCATTTTTGCCTCGACCTCCTCAGCTGTTCTGGGAAGGAACTGGGTTTCATGATACGGGTTTCGATGGGTTTTTGGCGACATCCACTTCGACACTCACTGGGTACATGGTTGTGCCTAGGGCTTTGGGTTGCCGTCTGTGAAATTTTGCGGGACTCCCCTGATGGTTTCCTGGACCTCTTGGGACGCAGCTTTGAGCCTGCGAGGTGCTTAGCTTGAAGCATCCGGTTCCGAGGTGCCGAGGTTCCGAGCGGCTTGCGCCATGCCATTCAGCACCTTTCGGGTGCTTCGCAGGTCTGAGAAAGAATGCGGAAAGCAATGCTAGGCTGTTAGTGTTGCACCGCAAAACTGGCCCCCTCCCATCCCCGGCGCGAACAAATCAATCTCCCGAAGATGGACCGGCCCGATTCAAATGGCATCAAATGGTGGGACTCAATATGGGCCGCGGGCCATTGCATAGAGTTCTCCAATTTTGGTACCCTCCCACCAGTTTACATGAAACCAGACGTTCGGGGAAGCGGGAACCTGGTTTGGACCAGTTTGGGTTCCGAACGTCGCACGCTTCGGAACGTTACGAAGGGGCGGGTCGTATCGAAGGCATCGTTTTTTGTTTTTTTGGTCGGTTTCCTTTGGTCCAGCGACTTCAGGAGGCCTTCGGCATGATCCAGCGCGCGGTGAGCCAATGTGGCAGCTGATGAGCTGATGCGTTGCGCGCCGGCGTCTTGCGAAGGGTCAGTTTGGGGAGTGCTTTGGTTGAGGGTGCCCGTTTTTGTGGGAGGGTTTAAAGGGGCACCAGAAGGAAATTCACCAATTCATGGGCTCCCCCTACTTTGACATATCCGTTTCGATGTTGCCAAAGCCCAGACGACTCAACTGGCTATGAATGCCCATGGGGCACACCCTCAAACATGGTTGGGGTGACATGAATGCAACCATATAAATGATGCCCATCAAAGGGTCCCACCCAACTATCATCCCTTGAGAAGCTGGCACTCCTGGAGATGTTAAGTGGCTGGAAAAGACACCAGTTTCGGCACATTAGCCAGTATTGCTTCAATAGTAGGGGGGGGCCATCAGCAGCAAATTTAAAAAGGGAGTCTGCAAGCAAAGGCTGCTTGGCGCAGTTGCTCTGTTTTCAAAAGGACAGAGTCGGTTTCGAAAAGGAGTCCAGTGGCAATGTAGAGGATTGGGAAACAACAAGCAGCAAGACGTATTCGTCCCCTTCGTTCTTTTCACTATTTTCATGTTTTTGAGGGGCATTTTTTTTTTGGTGATTCGCGACCGTTTGAGCTTGTTTGAATGAAGCAATTTTGCATATTCGGTACTGTATCAGAGTTGTTTGAATGCAATTCTGAGACGTGCAAGCTGCGCATCCTGCCCGTGTTTCTCCTTCCGCTTTTCAAGGCTCTTTTGAGTTGTTGTACCCGAGATAGGGTTTGCATGCATCGACTGAAAGAGAGGTCCCTCATGCTTTACTGCACCGCCTGGAGACAAAGCAAAGACAATTCAGGGAAGCCACACTTTCTCAGGGTTGCGACAAACTTGATCATGTGGCCATGGTTCAAAACTGTTTTGGATCCCATTTTGGGTTTTCGGTGAATTCACCACCCATCTTAGAACCTATTTTAGTGGGGATTGGGTCCGGTTCACTGGGGGTACGATTTGGGTTTTGACCCATGGCCATATGTTTTCTGCAAGAAACCGTCTCCTACCAACTGCCTTCTGCAAGGCGCGCGTCTGTCGGCTCGGGCGCGGGCGCAAAGAAAAACCGCCCAAAGCCCGACGGGAACCCCGGCAGATCGCACGGATTGCCCCCCGCCCGTGGTTTGACAGTTACCATGTAAAGGGTAAAGCACAACCTCAAAGCAACACCCTGGTCGCCCACATATATGGGTCTGTTTTGTTTGGAGGGTACTTTTTTTTTGGTGGTTTGAAAGGGAAACCCAAAAGAAAGCCACCACTTTGCAGGGGGCCCTAAAAAAGACACACCAACATATATATATATATATATAGATAGTTAAAGTGACCGAAGCGTTTTGGAAGACTACCACGTCCAGTCTGTGTCATGGCGATTTGCAGATTTTGGGTGTTACAGGAAGTTATTTGCCACAGCCATTCTGGCCGATTCGCTCCAGATCCGAATGTGAAAGAAGTACCCAACGGCCAACAGGTAGGATCAACAGGGCAGCTATCTAGAAATCCGGGATTCCCATGATTCCCTGCAAATGAACCGTGCGGAAACAAAAAAAGGAAATGCGCCTGCAGCTGACTTGAGCTGACACGCAATGGTTGCGAAGCTCTTTTGAGAATTGGCGTGAAAGTTGCAGAGCAGTTTGCTGGAACAGACCATGCCTCAGGTTGTGTATGGGCTATTGATTATCTTTTGCACCCACACATGATTCAAGAGATAAGTTTCTCTCTTGTGCATGATTTTCGCATTCAGACCGAGCGAAGTGATATCTCTCGTTTGCCGTCTGCCTGCATTGTTCGCTCGAGCCGCCGGGGGCGAGAGCGATTATGGAAGAGCTACACAGAAACCTGGGCAACTATCAATCTTTGGCTGGCGAGCCCCTTGATGATTGCATAGTTGGTATCCTTTTCTTTGCTTTTTCTGTTTGGGCCAGTCAGCTTGACTTTAGGCCAGGCCACTCAGTCAGCTTGAAACACAGCTGCTGTGCTTTGCCATCGGCTGTGAACTCGGCAGCCGTGAAGTCTGGGCATTGGCTCCCACACCTAGAGGCGCGAGTTTCAGGCAAAGTATTTGGCTGTGGGTCAAAACCAACGGTACCATTTTGGGGTAGGTGCACCACCAATTTTAGTCTACTTTAGTGGGGATTGGGATGTTCACTGGGGGTACGGAATCTTGACTCATGGCCATTTGTTCATGCCAAGCATTGCCCAAGGAGGAAAAACTACCGATAAGGGCCCAGATGATATATCCTAGATCATGACAGCCTAAAGGAAGAATGGAGGTCGGGACGCCAGACATGGGCTTGTCTCAAAATGGTTCGACCCCCCCCTCGAAGCAAGAGACGTTCCCCAGACAACCCACTCGAGGAGTCGAGCGCCATGTACAGTCTGCGGGGCTGCGGCGGCAACCACTTCGGGATGTTCGCAGGCCCGGCTTCAAGCCCGGCTGAAACGGGACGATTCGATGCTTACCGCAGTCTGAGGGTCCGAGGGTCTGAGGGTCCGAGTGTCTGAGGGTCTGAGGGTTTGAGGGTCTGAGGGTCTCAAGGTCTGAGGGTCTGAGGGTCTGAGGGTCTCAAGGTCTGAGGGTATCAGGGTCTGAGGGTCTGAGGGTCTGAGGGTTTGAGGGTCTGAGGGTTTGAGGGTCTGAGGGTCTGAGGGTCTGAGTGTCTGAGTGTCTGAGGGTTTGAGGAGGGTCTGAGGGTCTGAGGGTTTGCGGGTCTGAGGGTCTGAGGGTCTGAGGGTTTGAGGGTCTCAGGGTCTCAGGGTCTGAGGGTTTGAGGGTCTGAGGGTTTGAGGGTCTGAGGGTCTGAGGGTCTGAGGGTCTGAGTGTCTGAGGGTTTGAGGGTCTGAGGGTCTGAGGGTCTGAGGGTCTCAGGGTCTGAGGGTCTGAGGGTCTGAGGGTCTGAGTGTCTGAGGGTCTGAGGGTTTGAGGGTCTGAGGGTCTGAGGGTCTGAGGGTCTGAGGGTCTGAGGGTCTGAGGGTCTGAGGGTCTGAGGGTCTGAGGGTCTGAGGGTCTGAGGGTCTTAGGGTCTGCGGGTCTGAGGGTCTGAGGGTCTGAGGGTCTGAGGGTCTGAGGGTCTGAGGGTCTGAGGGTCTGAGAGTCTGAGGGTCTGCGCGTCTGAGGGTCTGAGGGTCTGGTGTCTGTGGGTCTGAGGGTTTGAGGGTTTGAGGGTCTGAGTGTCTGAGGGTCTGAGGGTCTGAGGGTCTGAGGGTCTGAGGGTCTGAGGGTCTGAGGGTCTCAGGGTCTCAGGGTCTCACTGAGGGTTTGAGGGTCTGAGGGTCTGAGGGTCTGAGTGTTGTGAGGGTTTGAGGGTCTGAGGGTCTGAGGGTCTGAGGGTCTGAGGGTCTGAGGGTCTGAGGGTCTGAGGGTCTGAGGGTCTGCGGGTCTGAGGGTCTGAGGGTCTGAGGGTCTGAGGGTCTGAGGGTCTGAGGGTCTGAGAGTCTGAGGGTCTGCGGGTCTGAGGGTCTGAGGGTCTGGTGACTGAGGGTCTGAGGGTCTGAGGGTTTGAGGGTTTGAGGGTCTGAGTGTCTGAGGGTCTGAGGGTCTGAGGGTCTGACAGGGTCTCAGGGTCTGAGGGTCTGAGCGTCTGAGGGTCTCAGGGTCTCAGGGTCTCAGGGTCTCAGGGTCTCAGGGTCTGAGGGTCTGAGTGTCTGAGGGTTTGAGGGTCTGAGGGTCTGAGGGTCTGAGTGTCTGAGGGTCTGAGGGTTTGCGGGTCCGAGGGTCTCAGGGTCTGAGGGTCTGAGGGTCTGAGGGTCTGGGTTGAGGGTTTGAGGGTCGGTGCCGAAGATGTTTTTTTGAGCACGTTGGAGACCAGATTCAAGTTCTCTCCATTTTTTTTGGGTGGGTTTCGCGTGAAGCCTGAACAGACAGTACCCTCTTGGGCAATGACCCATTGCAGCCAACAGGAGCTCCCAGGGTGTGATGCAAAGAACCGCCAGGGGTTTTCTCTTTGACAAGTCACCGGAGCGCCTTTGCATTCAGTAAGAAGAGCTCACGTCGTTTTTTTTTGAACTGGATTCCAGGCCGATTCCGGCTGAGGTTTGTCAAACATTTTCTGGGCGTCTTTGGCATCAAAAGCCTGGCTCCCTTTCGCAAGATGCTCTGGGAATCGACTTGTCAGATCCTTTCAGCCTGCAGCTCCGGGCGGGGTGTCCTACTTTTCTGTTTGGTTGGTGATGTATATCAGGTGTACTGATCACCCGAATCGGGCGCACAGCAAGATATTGTTGGCGTTTGTTCTTTTTCCTTTGTGTGGTGTGTGTGGTACTCTTGGGGTCTCTCGTGCTCTCGTGGCCGCAGGCACGCGCTCGGATTTCATCATCACCCGACACCCCGAGTTCAACCTGGGGCGCCTGGCCAGCGAGCGCGGCCCGGGGCGCCCGGAGAGAAGGGGAGCGAGCGACCGCGAGGGGCGTGGGGTGTGTGCGGGTGCGGGTGTCAAAGGGACCCCTAAAATCAAGGGTTGTCCCAGGTACCTGCCAAGAAGAACCTCCAAAATCAGCTTCCGACTGAGTTTGGTGGTTTGGAGATTGGTGGTTTGGTTTGGATTGGTTGCCAGCAGTAGAAACAGCAGAGTTTGCTTGCCACGGGCCATGCAACTCTTGTTCGGCGATCACAAAATGAGGAAACTCGAAAGGTATGATGCACTTCCCAAAACCAAGCATGGAGCCAAAAACAGAGGATCCCTGAGGAAAAGTATCCTTTATCAGGTGCCCCGTAATTGGTGCTTTGCCTTGGTGGTTTGGATTTGGATGTGAACCCTTGGTTCCTACACAAGATCTGAACCCCCTTCTCTCTCCCTCCCTACCTCCCTACCCCCATGTTGGTAGGAGGGGTGTACGTGTCAAAGCAGTTGCACCCTTTTTCGGTCCACATCAGAAGACACCATCATGAAACTGCTGCTCCCGTTGGTTCAGATTTGCCGTTTTCCTCAGAGGGCGTGTATTGAAGCGACAGCTTCGGTTTCGGCTTACAAAAGGTTCACAACACATTTGGGTTGTCTCTAGATAGCCCAACAGAGACACCGATTTTGACTGGAGGGGATATTTTTTGTTCGCGCGTGCACGGCAGACATGTGCCGACCGA